GAATCTACTAGACTCTGTCTAGACTCTATAACTATATCTGGTTGATCAGAGAACAGATAAACAATTGTGTCTAGATAAGATATAGATGAGATTAGATCAACTAATCTACAGTGTCCATGGACTGTTTGTAGTGGTTCTGTATATAGAACTTGTAGGTGCGTTCACTATTCGTTTAACAGCAACCTGCAAAGCTGTGGATGTGATACTGGGAGGCAGTGATTGCCTGGTGTCTGGACAAGGACTGTGGAGAGCTGTGCATGTGTTGTGACAGATCATGAGAGCAGGGGCACAGGTGCAAGGGATTTGCAGGAGGTTGATGGCATCAGGAAAACTGCTCCGCACTGATTATTGACATAGCTCTCTGCCAATGCATGCTATGTTTCTAATATTCCCTCGCAGCCACCACTGAGTTCAAATGTTGTTGCCTAAATGGGAAACAAAGCACCTGGGTGGCTGTAGAGTGCCACTGACTTGACATGATTGGATTGTGAACTCAGTACACCAATGCTTCATGTATAGATATATATACAGAATCAATATAAACAATGAAATCATCCATCTAAAATACATAAACAGCCGATAGAGTACTGTCAATGGTGTCATATGCAACTGTTGAGTTCAAATATGCTCTTGCCTAAATAGGACAGACAATGCCCATGGCTGTTGCACTGACTTTACGCACTTTTGCATACTATCATTGCACCAGTAATGCAACCTTTTCAGTATCTGGGCTCCCTATAGCGCAAAATTTACCATAACGTCTGTGCGACGTCGGTGTCGGTGGGTCGTGAGGTCGGCCGCGCTCCGTGCAAGGCAGCAGCAGCGCTTCCGTCGGTGTAGCCGTGGGTGGCTGCGCTTCGCGCAAAATAGTCGGTAATCACGTGTACGGCGCGCTTCGCGCGAGACAATCATTGCGTCATTGGGCGGCCGCGCTCCGCGCAAAACAGTGCCGCGCTTCGCGCAAGACAGCAGCAGGATTTGAACCCCCTTCAGCGAACGAGGGCCCTCCTGGCGTCGAATGCTTTTGGTGCTCCCCAAACTGAATGGGAGCATGAAATCTAACATGACATGATAATATTGAGCTACATGATCAAAATTTTATGTTACCTGTAGTTACTTTAGCTAGTAGGTGTAGGGGTGAGTTCAGCTACATACAAGATGAGAGAGCCTTTTTGTGTAATTCTTGGGTCAACCTATAATCTGTTCTCATCAACACAGACTGCCATTCCGAGGCAAGTGAGGATCCTTTTTGGATCCTTTCTCTGCGCGTGTGCAGTTCGTATACATAATGCGTGAATTGGTACTCGACGCTTATTCAATATTCGACGCTAGCTATTCGTGCCATCGGGAGGAGCCCGGCATCCACAAAGTCTTCATTGGTACTTCTCAAATCCTGTCATCTTAAGTTCCAACCACTGGCATCTTGCTTTCACATGCCGAAGTACAGGTCTGACGCCGTTCACCGCAACTATATTTCATGCCCTAAGGCTCACGTTATGGGGAGCTCTTGTAGAGCCTTTCAATGACAACATTGTGCATATACACAATGGGCGTGTTCTATATCAACAATCGTCGCCCCAATCATGTATCACAGTTATATATCATCGCCGTGAGGAGTTTTGAATGCTGTTGTTACTCTAGCTCTCCCCCAGCTGTCCTTATTGTAGTGAGTTATTGTTTTGATTAGCGCGTATCAAGCATGAATCATCCTGAGATGTAAACACCCAACTCGTTTCTCCCCAAGTCACAAAAAGAACGAAGAATACTAACATTAGAAATAGACTCGTAAATCCGGTTGTAATGACCGGCTCGCATCATCAAGATGTCAGAAAAAAGGCTCATACAGGTCGTAGACAAATTCGTGAATCATTACCGCAAGTGTGGCAGGTTTGTTACTTCACCGCCAGGGACTATTGGAGGGAGGCAGTCTACCACTCATGGGGAAGTTGACCGATCGTGGGCTGCCAGAGTTCCGGACCACTGGGAAGGTAGCACTGCGAGGCGTTCCGAAGTATTGGGGAAGGGGAGCAGTACGTGGACTATGGATCGGACTGGGCAACGAGCGATCTTCGTCGTCTTCGGTATACTGGCTGCTCTCCGTCGGACTTCGTCGCGCGCTCTCGTGGAAGTGGAGCAGGGCGCTGTGGTGCGCTTCATAAGCGCGATGCGAGTCCTCGTTTTCAAGCGCCGTCATGCTCCTTCGGGGGCTCCGAATGGGACTCTGGACTTCAACCTCGTCAGCGTGGGCCTGGGGAATGGACGGTGGCAAACCAGGCGGTGCTTGCGAATCCTCGTGAGTATGATTGGGTTGTATATAGATGCGGTCTATAACAACGGATTCGACACGAATGGTCACTTGATTGTCTTCGTGCTCCGAGTCTGGGCTATCCGGTCGTTTGAAGACGCCATCGCCAAGCTCCACGTTAATGGGGTTACCCTCCAAGTCCGTCTCTGGAACATCACCCTTCTCGAGGTCTGGCTCATCACCCTCAGAGTCAGATTTCTTCCTTCGAAAACTGCGGCGCAGACTAATCGACCTGGGGAGTACACTATGCTCCGGAAGGACGCGACGGGTGATTGCAAACAAAGTGACATCAACAAGCCCTTGGATTATGTCAGGGTACACATATTATACAACTACATGACAAGAGCTCACCTGACAAAAGGAAGACAGAGTCACTTGAGGATCTGGAGGTTAGCTGTCATGTAACAGATCAAGTAACGAGACATACCTGAATGAACTAGCAGCATCAGAAACAGGATGATTGGACCACTCAAGAAAGCGGCAGATAGCAATGGGCAGGATCAGAAGTGTGAACGCCACCTAATCAACAATTGTCAGTGTTTCAATTAATCTAACAACCATTGGGACTAACAGGATATCTGTCAAAAACACCCAAATTAGGGTCCAGATTGCCTCATGCAAAACAAAGTAGACACTAACATTAGCATCTGCTTCGCAATTGCTGTAGCATTACTATCAACTTGATTTGCTGCCACGGAATGACGACGAAAATGTATGCCACGAGTAGTAACATTGCCACGCATATTGAGGTAGACAAGAGCATATAATATAAAACTGAGACCAGCGGACAGGAACATCTGCAGATGTGTGAGCATTCAGACATCATTGTGTTGGTTGAGGGATACTGACCCACATATAATCCAGCCTTCGAAAGTGAGACACCAATTAGTACAGGAATAATGATATCCGATGCATAAGAGACGCACGTTATACGCTCTGCGCCATAGTTGTTTGAAATCCAACACCAGTAACCAGAAATACCATCTATGTGAAGATATAAAGTGGGCAGAAAGCCTAAGCATAGAGATTATTGACACTTACAGAACGGTCCTAACTCCTTCTTATATCCAGCATTGCCAATCGTGACCATCAGAAGAACCATGCCCCAACCGAATGCAAACATTCCATAGAACCCCCACTTCGGCATGTTCCATCTCAAAAAGACAACCAAGAATGTGTGCAGTGCGATCAGCTACAGGCAGGTACGTGAGTACTTTTACGTCACCCAACATGAGGAACTGCACTAACCAACGACCTACACATGTCATTTAGCATTACACAGATATACATTGCTAGACAGGGGGAAACTCACCACATGGACATAGACACGTCTGCACTTTGTTTGATAAAGCCTATTGCACGTTCAAACGCCCGTCGCACGCTGTTATACAAATCCATACCTTGGAATGCGCAATAATGCCCGTATTCGACCGCCTTCATATTCACCCAACGGATATTAAGGATTGAACCGAAGGCTAGAATAAAGTCAGCGCGCAACTTAAGAAAGAAAGTTAGAAATACGTACACTGATTGAGGTCACACCATAGCATCGACACAAAGTAGGCTGCGGTATGACTGCGCATGAAGAGATGAGGGTTGACCGATTTACGAGTGTTCCATGCAGAAATCTGGATCTGAAATTGCAGGATTTACTGGACTTCGAAAAACGTTGCCACTCACAGCAAGGATTGCCAAAAGTACGACGACTGCGGTGCCGGAGAACCATGAGATAACGATGGAAACCTATTCCCAACTATGAGACATTTACGGACAGCAATGCGTTGTGTGACGTACCACAACCCCAGTTGCGTCAGCAGACGAGTAGTCGACCTTCTCGATAATGAAGTCTTTCCCACCAAAAAGCACTTGAACGTCGGCCATCCTGATGACGTTCGATCAAGATCCAGGGAAACACGAATTACGAGCCGAATAAAAATAAAACCAAGAAGCCGTAAACTCAGGTACCAGGACCTGAAAGAAACGGAGAAGAGGACCAGCCCTTCGATCAAAGGGATAAAAGCGGAGGGGAGAAGAACGGAAGGAGGTCTGAGGCGACGCCAAAAGGGCAATCGAGCAGGTGGGCGCGCTTTTATAAGTAGCGGCGCTGTATCGCATCGCAGACGACTGATGGCAGGTTTCAGCCTCTCCTCCCACGGCAGAGCCTCGCAACGACACCCCCGCTGATTCATGGAGACCTGACTTATGTCGCCGATTGTCGTAAAGAATCTTCTGGTCCATATCGACGCAGAAAGTTTCCTCTGCGTTGACGGCTCATGTATAGCCCGCATCCGTAACACGGAAACCATAAAATACACGAACACCGATATACACACACGGACGCGGCTAATCGTATACCTTGTCAGAAAGCCGTTCAGTACTGCGAAAACAACTAATTGCTGCCAACGAGTGGCGCCCTCTCTTCGTCGAGAGAAATTCCCCGACCTCCGCGATGGATCTTCAAGAAAACGCCCACTACAGCCTTCACAACCCACAAACTAGAAATTATGGCGAAAGCGAGAGCGCTCCAGTGTACGAAGGCTGGGTGGTGCTGGTGTGCAAAGATAGCCCACAAGGACCAAGAGATGGCGATGCTCGCCGGCAGGTCACCTTCAGTGGTGGAGAAAGCATACGCCGCTGCGGTAGCTTCAAGGAAGAGCCTGTGAAGATCATCCATGAGGATGTGTGCAAATATTGTCGAGAAGTGAAAGATACGCACAAGCCCAAGAAGACAAACACTTTCGTCCACACGCCAGCACGCTCAGTAATAGCGTTCACTCCGAAGGCCTCAAACGCGGTGAGGATGACAAGCACAGTGGCCCATCCATGCCACAGGGAGAAAGGCAGGTGAACAAAGACCTCATCGCTAATGCTCTGTGGCTCGTGAAACTTTTTGACAACGTAGTAGATGTGCTGCGGCAAATGGTGAGACACGAATTGACACGAATGGCACATATAGGAGAAGGCGACATACAGTCACAGTAGAGCTGACGAATAGAGCGAGGATAAATGCTGTAAAGGACAATTAATTTCACCACATACTCAACATGAATTCTCATATACCGATGATGTAATGGTGAGTAGCCCAGAGGTTGACGTAAATCGCATTTAGCAGGACGAGCAAAGGAAAGCGCCAGGAAATGCCGTCGATTATAACTTGCTTGCCCCCGTCGAAGAATTGATAAATAATAGTTCCAAGAAGCAGGAGGTGGATAAGAGACCTGTGTATAACTGGTCGGCCGCCATAGGGACTCGCAATATGCTGCGTTCACGTACCAGATGAGGAACGCCCATGGTGCCGGAGTGATGTACGTTTCCTTGCCCGTGTAATAGATATCCGCAGGTCCAGCAATCGTGTAGATGTTGGAGCCTAAAAACAGAAAATATGCAATGACATTGATGATCTGTGCCACTTGTAAGTCTCTGCAAAGCTATTGCTGCAAAGTCGAGCCCACTTTCAAGAAGAGACTGCTAGCCGCAGAGTGGTTTGCAGGCATGTTCCGGTCGTCGCTGGGGTCGTGGGCGTGAGGTAAGTGAGGAAGGAGGTGCTGGCTGGTTAGGAGGCCTTAAGTACGGCTGCAAGCTCCCAACCCACCGGCAGGAGCGCAGCTGGGTGACGTCAATAACGACGCGCGGAAGCAAATGCAAATGCAAATTAGGCAACTCGCAGCGCACCCAGTCCTCCTGACGTCTCACGTGGGAGTCCAGTGCAAGCCTCGTCGCCCGCGACCATGTCCACTCCCCGCCATGCTCCCTCTGCCTTCTCGACGCCTGCATCCACCACCCTCTTCCGCAGGCTGACATGGGAGGGCACCGTCCCCTTGGAAGTCCGCGTTGACTCCAAGGAGCTCCCAGCCAACAGCGACCGCGGGCTCGAATGCTACTACATCCAGGCACCTCGAGTCAGCTATCTACCGCTCCTGGTACCCGAGATCAAGCGATTTCTAATGGACGTCGTGTTCGATGAGGCTGCCGCTAGGTTGATAAAAGAAGAAGACTGGTGGTTTGAGAGTGAGGAGGGTCACTTGCTGAAATGGTGCGCATGGGCAAGAAGACCACATTTGAGTTCGATGACGTTGATTTGGATGCTTTAGGCATTGGCCTATTGGCCTTATTTATGACAACCATACAATCATGTCGTCTGCACGCCTAAACTCGTCTGCTACAGAGCCCGCGCCGCTTCGCCTCATCCTTCACCTCGCGTCCCCGCCTACGGAAAAGCTCCTCCTATCACCCAGCACAGAAGCATGCAAACAGGCCTTTATGGGTCAGCTCAAAGAGGCCGATTTTCTCAGATGGGGAAACACTAAACGAATGACCGGCCTACGGAAGGCAGAGCAGGATGGTCTTTGGGAGGGCATCAAGGAACGTGAGTCGCGTGTGATGAATGTTTGATCTGCACACCCTGAACACCATGGTCATGCGCATTTCCAACGCGTAGATAATTTCGAGGAGTACTGGCGCGTAGCCTCCAAAATTACACCGACTACGACACCTATGCGATCTCACTCCCCACCTCCATCCTCATCCGCATCGATGCACACACGTCCGCCATCTGCCGATCCTGGCTCTAATCCAGGCCCAGATCGCGACGGCGCTTACAACGTCCGTAGTGTTCCTGTGCGTATATACCTACCAGACGGACCAGTGCTCCAGGATCTCGTGCCTACCATGTTAGACGATGGTAAGCGTTAATTACTCCAGATCGTCTCCTGCGTTCCTCGTGTCTTGCTAGTTCCGCAACCAGCTCCACGTTTTGGTGTCTGCGTGCTCAGCTGATCTTGTCTGCCAGGTGTCGCGCACACGCTTTCAATCTTTTTGACGACTCACTTACCGCTGTTATTCTCTTCTGATCGGGAGCCCCTTGCATATGCCCTCGTCCAAGGGGTGATGGTTCCACCTGAGGCGGAGATGGCTTGGCTTGGTGCTTGCATGGCTGGAGCGGACGGATGGGTTAATGTATGTATAGGCTTGATCCGTGAAGAGAATCTTCGATTCCGTTGAGATTTCGGAGAATGGTGTGTACCCAGTCCCTGATATAATCTATATACCCTATGGACGTGTAGGTGCACGTTCTAATCAATTTTTTTGAGGCATGAAACCAGCCATCTGCAACGGCTGTTATACGTGTAAACCTGACCCCTTGGAGTGACGTGTATCATCAATTGATACATACCACTTAAATTACCATTTAGATTGCTAGGAGATCATCAAGTGTGAATTTCACAACAAGGAAATCACCATTTTCTTGCAATAGCAAGTTGTGCCAGCTGAATTAGTAGGGCTTTCCCCCTTGTCAAATGGATATTTCTTCACTGAGGAAATCATCATTTCCTTGCTGTGTTTGGTAGACTCGCAGGCCAGTTGGACTTAAAATGTGTCCTCCATTTTCGTCGAGGAATACTGAAAAAAAGGCGGAGTATAAAATGCAGAACGCGTTGTGACGAGCGACAGCGGAGTTTAAAAGTTAGAACAGCTGGATACGAGCCTAGTGTTTCACACAAGATCCCTGGTAAGTGATTTATTAGTGACTTTGTGCAAAAGTACAGATTTGCCAAAACTGTCCTTATAATTGCCCACGCAGCAAAATATTGAAAAACACTTAATTAGCAACAACTCGTTTCGATCGAGTGACCTCGGGGTTATGAGCCCCGCGCGCTTCCAGCTGCGCCATGTTGCTGATTCTGACCTAACGCGAACAACGGTTATCACCAAGTTTCGCGCTGCTCAAGTGCCATGAGACCGTCAGCCAACTTCTCCAAGGGATTCACTTCTTCGCAGACAACAGGTCTCACGCGACGGGAAGATATCAGACTAAAGTCTGACTTATTTCAGATCTCGGTAGAAATAACCGTGGAGGAAGCTGACTTGAGGACAGCGCGATGTATGGCCCATAGAGGGAACATACCTCGGCTCTTTCTCTATGTAAGGAAATAAGTAGCACATTTCGTGCTGACAATACTGAAGCATACTGGCATAGACAGCCAAGTGGATCCCCACAACGGAGACGTTCAACACTAGGTTGAGTATGAGCTTTGAGAATGGTTCCGGCAGCAGCTAGTTGATTTATGAGGACATCAAGTAGAATGAGCTCACCTTTCTCAATTTGCCCCGCAGCAAACCCGACGACAAGAGCACGGCCTTTCCATGCAAGTCACGTCAAACAATCTACAAAATTGACTAAAATCAGAGATTTTGAAGTCTTCAGACAATGGTTGTACCCTGAATCATGCCAACGGGGTCATATGACATCTGCTCCTTTTCCGCCTGTTAGTCGGAGCACCTCCTGCTGCCAGTCGGGCCAGATGTTATTAATAGAGTAGTCTGCCCCACCATAGTGCGTGGCGATACCCAGCCCCGCTTTTGAGCTGGCCGCTGCAATATCCTTTGCGCCCAATGCTAGTGTCATTGAATGTGTACTCATTCCTCAGGTACAATATTTGAAATACCTTTCGCCAGCCTCTGTACAGCTGCAGTGCCTACACCTCCAGCAGCAGCAGTGACAAGCACCCATTCACCTGAATTTACGGTAGTGAGAGAAGTTGGTAAACACGAACCTGTGAGTTCTCATCAGCCTGATCTCAACTGCGCACAGCCAACAAGAGCCTCGTAGCTTGTCGGCCAGGTGATAAAGAAACCTGTAAGGCCTGGCTGACAAGATATCAAACTTGAAGTCGATTATGGTAAAACTATACCTGCGCCCTCATCATATGCTATTTTATTACTGGCAAGCAGTGGCAGCGCAAGGAGCTGTGTTCAAGTCACAGTGAGCTTCTCTAGTGTTATTAGACAAGCAAGTCGTGATTGTGTGAAAAGGCAAAACTCACGTCAAAGAAATTCAGGCCGGTGGTGAAGACTTCAACTACGACCTCGCTTTTGGCGGGCAATGGCTCCGTAGCTTTGGAAGGATGAGCGCATTCCGAAGTAATCCAAGCACGCATGGCATAGGCTGAAAAGAACAAAGTAAACTGTGGACGTCCTCTAAATATATAGACACTGGAGACTGAGGGCTCGACCATGGTGTGTGCACTGTTGCTCCGACCCGGGAACGGTCGACGGTAAGAGACTGGACTTGATCACCGGAGAATCGATTCAGAAGGGGCATTCCGAGAGCACCCGGACTAGTGCAGATCTGATCCGCACGGTTCTCAGAGATATGAAATGGAATATATGATTACGATTGAATGTTATACACGATGATGTGTGGCTTCTACTAAATGCAATGATGACTCCCCCTACTGCTATGACTACATGTTCATGCTCATGCTCATGCGAATCCAAATCCTTCTCCTCCCTCGTTGATCGCCAGCAGAAGCTGTTGCCGAAGCATCTCATACGATGAGTACTGCGGTAGATCAATTTGATTGAAGCCTAATAATGAACAATTCATTCAGCCGGGAGCAGCATGTCAGAGGGCAGGGCAACTCACAAGTGTGCGCCTGTGGCAGGCGGTCCTGATCACCATACGCCCGGTGTATAGAAAATCTTTGGACACCTTGGACACCTTGGAGCTCTGTGAAACCACCAAGTGGGACACGTGATGTACCAGTGGCAAAGCTCAGAACCTTAGCCCTCTCCTCTCGGTTGAACGATTTTAAAGCACGCCACCACCAAACTATCACAGGGTCGGAGCTCGTGTAGCCATTGTACTCCGTTGCAGCTCGCCATTCGTCGACATCGATGTCAGGCGTACCGGAAATCAATAGCTCGAGCTCCTGTTCGTTGAACTGCAAATAATAGCATAGTCTCAGTGTGCACAGTTCGAGAGCTAGTGGAAGAACATACGATTGCGATGAGATCCTTCGGGATAATTTCATAGAAACCAGTGAGTAGTGCTTCAATCTGATCCTTGATGGATGAATAGAGTCGATACTGGGCAGATAACTGGACAAATTCCCGCTTGTTCTCTTGAGTTACGGCGACAGATCGGCCATTTTCTCTTAAATCTACAATTTTGGTAACGCCAAACTAGGGAAAAATTAGACAAGGGCTAGACCAATATAGAAGCAAGGACACACACCTCGTCTGCCTCTACACTGAAGGTCAACTCGAGCGCACTGGGATCGTTGTCTAAAATCCAGCACAAGGAGTTATAGTATTCAGGATCGACCCATTCGACATCTCTGTAGTCAACAGGCTTTGCAAGAATCTGCCGATAAAGACTGCGAGCAAAATAGGCATCAAGTAGTCGTCCATCGTAGATCGCCTTGCCTATCACACGACCGACAAACTTGAAGAAGGAGAGATGTTCTGGATTCACCCAAGATGCTTTGTTCGGCTGATAAGTGAGTCTATCTGCCGCGCAGGGTTGGAACAGTGCATAGTTGGGATCAAACATCTGTCGAGCGAGAATTTGGAACCATTCTCGCGTGACACCACCGGCGTCAACCCCTTCCTCTTCGTAAAAGCGCACGCTGAGTTTCCCGTACTTGATTTGATCACCCGTCTTTCGCTGCAGGTATTGAAAGCTATCCTCGAAGACTCGCGGTCGACGGACGTTCAGTTGCAATGTACCGTGGTGTTCTCGCGCATGTGGTCGTCGGTGAAGTTGCTGACTGAAGTAATTCCTCTTATTATCGAAGTCTAGCACTCGAGGGTTGTGGACCAATAGCGAGAAAGATCCGCTCATGAGCGACGGATTATTGCGGACCATGAGATTGAGAACTTTGCGGTGAGCATCGGTGAAAGTGACGAAGAGCTCTTCCATTGTTTCGCGCGTAGACGTGGGCGATCTTGGAGAGGCGGATGCCCTCAATATGCGCGCAACACTTCCGGCGGCGGATTTTGCACCGACATACTTGCATACGACCATCAGGGACTCGATCAAAGGCAATAAGACAGTTGCGATGTGTTCCGTTTCTGGTTTCTCTTCGATGAAAGATAAGCAATCACCTAGACGTTGCCATAGTGGCGCAAATCTGAATGACTCGTATATGCCTTGTACTTTTTCGACATCTGCATCACTGACTGCACTCGACGGTGACGACGTAGATCGTGGCGAGTACATGTAGTCAATAGTCTTCAATACCCGCAGAAGTTTTGCTTGATCAGATGAAGCTGGCGAGAATTTTGACGCAATGGAGCTCGCGAGGACTTCGCCCTGAGATTCGTGAAGTGCAATCGCAAGTTCGTCCAATGCGGTGAATAGGCTCTGGCCAAAGTCTTGAGCTCTTGAGCGCAGCTCGTTCGCAATGATGTCTCGTGCATCCGGAACAAAAGAGAGGTGTTGGATGAGGGCCAAACTTTGCGAGAATGTTCGTCCAGAGCATTCGCCGGCGGTCAAGATATTGACGATGAAGCGCATTACTGTATGGGGGATGACTGGGGGACGAGCGAGAAGGACTTTTTCTTCGGAAGAAGGGCCTTGACCTGCTTCCACTGTCTGGTCGTCAGCGGCGGGCTCCTCGGCAGGGGCTGAAGCTACGATGATATTACTATATTGTACGAAATTTGATTTTCCAGCTGGAACACTCACTATCGATAGATTCTGATGGAACAACTACTGACTGCGCAGCTGATGGGGCAGACGCTTCCATAAGGTCTTGCGTCTCAGGCTTCCCTTTGTTAAAATCCTTCAAGCTTGCAAGGGGACGAGTGATTGTAGCAAGAAGAGTTACCACTGACTCCACGATAGAGGACGTCCTCAGAATAGACGGGCGATCCAGGAGGCTAAGTAACAGAACAACGGGGTAGTGTGTTTGAGGCACTTGTTTCTCCTTTCCCTTCCCCTTCTTTGACGCAGTGCGTCGAAGTCCCAATGGTAATTCATGCTCAGTGAGGAAGAACAGAGACGAGAGTTCGTTAGCGCTGACAATGTACGTGAGCGCCTCCAAGCACCGTTGCACGATGAGCTCCGGGATTATCTCGTTGTGACCTGGAGAAAGAGCAAGTGTTCCAAGGTAATCAGATGCGACTCGCTGCTTTCCAACCGACTTGGGTGTGAGTGTATGCGGCTGTTTCGAGTTACGGACAGACATTTGGGCGAAGCTTCGGTCAATAGACGCAAGATCGCCCGAGCCGTCTTGCAATATGTTGAGAAGCAAATTGAAGAGGTCCGTGCGCGTTTTGGAATTCTCACATAGATTGACCAAAACTTTGTACAACAGGTTTTTTTTGAGAGTATGTGGAAAGAAGAGGAGCCGCACGAGTACTGCTACAGCGGATTTGTCCAGCAGCTGTATAGCATCGCGTGATACAGCGGTCTTCTGTGAGTGCTGAGTTGTGGCTGGACGGACTTCAGCGTTTGCAAGAGGTTGAGCACGTGCTTGCCGTGCATTTTCTCGGTGAATTCCGGCTTCAGCTAGTATGTGGGACGGCAGGCTTTGAATCAAGCCATCGTCAGAGTCCATGAGAACGACTTGTCGAAGGTGAGGATCTAGACTAGCAATAAAGCTGGCGGGATCAATATCTGCCGGAACTCCACCGCCTCCTTGCTGAGCAGTGGTGACTTGCTGTCGAGCACGTTCAATGCTTTCTTGTTGCAGTATCTCGGCTCTGAGCTCTGGCGGAAGGGCATCAAGGAATTCGGGACTGATATGTGAATCGGCCGGACGCTCGACTCTGGCGGCACGTTGGTCCCGAACATGCTGATTAAGCACCTCTTCTCGCATATCGTCTGGCAACGCCTCTAGGAACGTAGGATCTATGCCGGTTTCGGTTATGTCCACAGGACTTCCATGAATCATCACAGTTATGCGTTGGGCTCCACTGCTCGAAGCTTCCGCGGCCGGACCGTCTTCAGCTACAACTGCAGAATCGTCCTGTGTCGTGTCCTGCGTATCCTGGCTTTCATCCGGTTCAATGGGAGCGTCTTGGGAAACATCTACCATGTCAGTATCCCCATCTACCGACATCGAACCCTGTTGCTCAGGATCGACATCCGGTCCCTGGGCCACTTCGGAATCGAGCTGAAGCCGTTCTTGTTCCACTCTAGCTCTCTCCGCTTCCTCTTGTTCCTTCGCAGCAGCCTGATCAACTTGTGCTTGCTCCTCTGCTTGTCGTGCAGCTTCCTCCTCGACGAGTTTAGCTTGCTTGGCAGCCTCCACAGCAGCCGGCATGAGGACGACGTTGACGTGATTGCTCAGCTTAGATAGTCGGGCTTGCTCGAACTTGCCATGGACCATCTTAACTTCTTCTAGCCATCGTTGTACAGTTAGAAGCGGGTCAAGGTTATGACTATCTGATCGAGTATCACCCGATCGTGGTGCTCGCTCCAGACGGATAGAAGCCGATATTGTTCCACGGCCGTGTCGCTGTAAAGGCCCTAAAGTACCTGACGGAACATCGATACGTATAGTCTCGCCACCACCCCCACGTTGGTGAGAAACGATGTGTTGAAACAGCTGTAGCGCGCCCTCGCCAATCGCGTCCTCTATTGTCTGCAATAGATCGTGAGGATTGTTGGTTGCTATCACGTTCCTCTGGAATCGGCGGGTGCTTCTCGCCTGGCCAGTTGACCCACGAGTCGAATTGGTAGCAGGATCAACAAGGAGTGGATGTGTGGCTGCATCAGAAGATATGGGTGCGTTGCGGATTCGACTAAAAATATCCATATCGTCGTCTAATACCAAACAGTGTAAGAAGTAGGCAAGGAATTAAGTGCCATAGTCTCACCTATGCCTCGGCGGCGGCCAGAACGTGTAGGGTCGGCCCACAGTATTGGCGGAGCAATTCGAGTGGCGTTGACCGCTCCACCATTCAACACATTAGCAAAGCCAGCCGTTGCGAGCTCGAAGACATTACCGCCAATAGGCCCATGACCCGCGACTCCCAATTCATCGCCGTATCTGAGAATTATGAGGACAACAGAAAACCAAAAATATGACGTCAGTGACTCACTCATCCTCCTCTGACGCCATATCTGCTTCTTCGTCAGCGTCCATTGGCATGATGGGGACAGGATCTGCCGCTATGAGCACTAATTACAGAGATAGGAATCGGCTTCGTACCTTCGTCGTCATCACCTTCATCCGCGGCACCATCCACCAAGTCATCAGCGACAGCAATGCTCTAGTCGCAGATATAAGCAAGAGGCGATCTCGAGCATATGAAATGCAAATACCTGCCACATCACATCCTCTCCATCGTCCCCTTCTCCTTCCTCCTCCTCTTCCTCATCACCTATTTCCTCAGGATCACCTCCGTCATTCGCAACCAAACCTTCTTCTTCTTCCTCTTCTTCATCCTGCCAACTCTCCTCATCGTCATCGTCATCTTCATCCGTCTCGTTCTCAATGGCATTCTCGATGTCATCCTCTACATCGTCATCGGTATGCGACGTATCCTCGCTTCCCGTTTCATCGCCGAAATCCATATCAACGTCTTCGTCAGCTTCCTCGCCGTCTTCATCCATATCGTCGTCCGGTCCGAAATTAACATCTTCCATTTCCTGTCGGATGTTCAAATGAGCTCTTACCAATCAATGTCTCATACAAATTACTTACGCCACCAAACCTACACGAAATATGACGATGTTACTCAGCTAATTCAAAGAGATACTGGAATGTACTTACAAACCAAGAGAGGAATTCCGGTATAGATCAGGTGTCTCATCGCCGTCATGTTCTGTTGTGTCATCTTCCTCTGAAGAAACCGATTCAACATCTTCGACCTTCTCATCTAATGACTCCTTGGACTTGTCAGACACACGACTCATTTTGATAGCAATCTTTGATCTACGACACGGTGCATTAGCAACAATAAACTGGAACGATGTGTGCCTTACAGGAAATTAAGCGGGCGCAACAAGCCCGTTACCACACCGCGAATATTGGGGTAATTGAGGTCGACCTCGGCAAGAGCATTCGTCAGCGTCGCCACGAAATTCTTTTCCAGCATAACTTTGGCGATGTGCGTAGGGGCTTCCTCGTGTGGCTTTCGAGTGTTGCTATTGAATCGCACTGTCAACAGCCGGTTACATAAATCCGCTAGAGCGAGAAGGCGACTGTATCGAAGCTCTGGAGGCTCCGATGCCGGAAGGTCTTTCAACGCTCGACTAATGGCCTCCAAAACAAATTTGCGGACAGAGATCAGCTCTGCAGGAACGTCCTTGATATCGTGCGTGAGCGATGTGTCAACGCAAAGTGCCACAACAACAGACATAGCCCAATTACACAACATAATACGCTTTCTTGCTTCAGAAGAGGGCTGGGGATCGATGGTGCCGAATGTCACAAGCTCCATGAGAAGGAACTGTATCGCGGCAGTCCTGTGCTTCATTCCAACATCTTTCGCGGGTATCTGCGTCCGCCGCTTCGGGGAGAATGACAAAAAGGCGATCTTGCAAGCATCATAAGAGAAGAGAAGCTCGGAAAGACATTGCATCAAGAAACAGGAATACACGTAGTCGTCCTCCAGAAGAGAAGATGGCTCTATAGTCTCCGGTTTGAGGGCATTTGCAGAGGGCTCGGATGGACCATCGAGAACTCCTGCCTCTGATCCCGCCATCTTTGGCATCTCAGCTGACGACGTCTCCGGTGCGCCACCTCTCTTGAGCGATCTCATAAGTTCAGCAATGAGGAAATGGACGGGTGCCTCCAAGTCGGGAAGTGTCTGCGTATGAGTAGTGAAGGGGTCGTCAATGTGCATATCGGAGCCTTTGTTCGTGACCGGAGCTTCCGACTTGACCTCTGCCCTAAGACTGATGCTTTTGGAGTTAGAATATGGCTGTGAGAGCTGGCAAAGTTCCTGTGTGACATTGATAAAGGTGGATGGATCACGGAGCGCAAGCGCACCGCAGCCAGTGACATAATTTCCAACATCCAGCACGCGATGGCGTGGATGAGCAAAAAATCTTTTAATCTCTTGTCGCATAACATGCTGAAGAATGGATTGATCCTCTACGATGTGACGCAGAATAATGGCAATATGCGATTGTATGCCTGCGGCGCTTTGTGTCCCAGCTGAAATTTGCATGTACCGGAATAATAGAACTAGCCCGTCTCGGTGAACGAATTTTTCGGCCATCTTGTGGTCTCGAGTCAGATAGACGAAAAGTCTAAGCGCAGATAGTAAATCGTCCTTTGATATTGTAGACAGCGCGAGCAGTCGTAGACAAAAGTCGAACAAAATATTTTTGGCCTCTGAATGATCGCGTCCAACAGAAAGTGACTCTTGTACGATGGCTTCGTTCTCTTTAGGCACCGAAATGCTGCGAGGTTCCTCTCCCAAAGTGAGCAGCGCTTCTGCGACTAATAAGTGTGCAGCCAACCACTTGGGTACCGTTGGATGGCCTTCTATATTAGTAGGATTGGAGAGAAGCAATGCAAGCATGGAATCCATTAAATTGTTAGCGTCGCTATCGATCATCTGAGTCAAAGGAGATGTTGGATCATTCAGTGCCAGAGCCAGCAGACGGCACCGAACAGCCATCGATTGCTCCTGAACATCATATGCTGAAGAGGAAAGTGATTTAACATCATCGATCAGTAGCAGGGCAGCTTGTTCACGATAGCCATTGGATGGCCCGACGAAAACCTTCTGAACGTCGAATGCAAGTGACGGATGTTCGTCAAGGAGCCTGAGAGCTTGCCTGCCCATAGTATCCTTCAGGGGGTCCCGGAGCGCGTTGAGCTCCTTTATCCAATCCTCCGTGGATTTTACAGGGACAGACGACGCTTGCTCATCGGCAACTGATGATGCAGGGACCTCGGCTTCGGTTCCAGCACCGGCAGTGACTTCCCCAGAGGTTTCTATAGGCGCATCTGCAGCCACGGGGGGTTCTTGAGGCTCTGGATCCGGAGGAAGTGGGAACGGGTGCGCTAGTAAAAGTTCCGTGGCAGCATTGACATTATTGCGAGTTCGAACCAGAGCTCGTTCTGCTGCAGATCTTGGGAAGCCCATATCTACCAGCTGACGAATACGGTTTTCATCAGGACCAGCTGGTCGAGCTATAGCAAAACCGTTCGACATGAGCGACGGCGCCCCACCCTGCGGTGGGTCCTTAGCCTCCTCTCCGTCCATGCTGAGTACGTCCATTAAAACATTGACCACTGATTTGCTGACACCCAGAGGTGCCGATGACAACCAAGATGCCCCCCATAGGTCGGCCAAGAGGGGCATCGCGGCAATTCTCGTCCGGACTAAGAATTGACGAGGCTCGAAGTAATCAGGATCGGAGTCCTTCTTCTCGGATGAAACTAGTAGTGTCGTTTGAGTGGAGTCGAAGAGGGGCTTGGCCGATAAAACGGGATGAAGGAGATGCAATGCCACCTTCAACCCGCCATAAGCGTGCACAAGTTCTTCTTTAGCAACATGGGAGCGGTCCTCTGGGCTCACATCTGTCATGGTTTTGATGGCGTGAACGAAAGTATTGCAGAGGCGGAGTATAGCATCGATGCCTCCTGCGCGACTGAAGGCAGCCAAGAGAACAGTGTAAAGAGTCTTTTGGGCTGCACGCTCTACAGACCACCCCCAAATCAGCTAGATCTTTGTAAAAAGAAGAATGACATACCATCCACTAATAAGATTGTAGATAAACCAAGCATCACCGTATGATAGGCATACACAGACATCTTGTCAGCTAAGCGAGCAGTCAGCAAAAATTGGTATAATATGGCCAAGGTAAGCGACTGACCAACTGTGTGCAAATCAAGATGCTTGACTAAAATGTCAGCGAGGATCAAAGAAGTTTCTTGAATCTTCTGTTTCTGAGCAGAATCAGTGTTGCGTCTAGTTTGAAAAAGTCTCACAACAGCTATGAAAAATTGCGTCAGTCTCGAACCTTACCCCAGGAGTAGATCAGCCTTGCCTTGGAAGAATGGCGCTAAGCAAGTAGGTAGTTGACTAGCCAAGTGTTTGGCGATCTTTGCGTTCTGCAATTTAGCACTGTTGTCTTTTACAGTGACCGAGTCAGACGCCACTGGTACAGAAGATTCGCCCTGTGCACCATTAGCCGTGGAGGGGAGAGTATGGGCAGAGGTATCCTGAGATATAGGTGGGGTATCGGTGGGCGTGACGGTTGAAGAAGAATGCGGGTCCAAAGCAGTAACATCGGCGGGCGCAGGAACATCTACTCCTTGTAACGCTAGACCTGATTTAAGCATTATGTTCTCCCACACACATGTCCTGTGAAGCGCGCCCAGATCGGGCAGAATATTGTGTGCTGACGGGCCTGTTAGGGATTGTAGTAAGGTTGCAGTTGCTCTTCCATGAGAATACCCAGCAGTAGAGTAGATGTCAGAGAGTAGGGATGTTCTGATGTAAAGAGTAATATACTGCCGGACGCGGTCGTTGCCTCGCTGAAGCTCTGCGACGGGCACCAATGTGAATCCACCATCCTGCCTTAGGGGTATCAATTGCGTACCTCTATCAGAAACATTCACAAGCTGCAGGAGCTCAGATTCTTCTCTCATGGAACTCCAAAAGTTTTTCGTGCTGGCCAATGATTCGTGCACGAGACGAACCAAAAAGCTGACGGTTTCACCAGGTGCGACTTCCGCCATGGTGCGCACAACCTGAACTAACGAGTCTGACGCCAAACTGTTCACGAAGTCGTAGGGAAGACATGGTAACGCGGTGAGCTTCCCAAATCGACTCAGAGCCTCTTCGTCGGTGACGAAGTCTCTGCAATGCGGTATACACTGGAAAAACCCTTCCAAAAACTAAAACGGATGAGCAACATTCCCCACGATCAAATACGTCGCATACCTTTCCAAATACATCAATGAACGACACGATTATATTGTCATGGGACCCAGACGAATCGTCACCTGGCAATGAGGCTGCATCATTGATACTACCTCCTTGGGAGTTGGTAGGGGCGGAGCGCTGAGACTGGGCGGTTTCTGCAGAGGCCATATCCACATCCGCGTCCATCGTAGCCTCTTTGGCGGATTGCGAAGGAGAGTTAAGCAATAGTAAATACCACTGTTTCATATCCTCATCTGGCACGTAATCATTGCCCATCTGATAAATGTTGTCCATAATTGCTTTTATCGCATTGAACACAGCTTGCTTCAGCGACGGATGGTGTCGAATTAATTCCTCGATCGCTGTACCAATGAGAACCGCATTTTCCTTGTCCTGTAGAATTCTTTGATGGCGCTCCGAAGTAAAAATGGACAAGAGTCCAGGGATAATATATGGGCGAGCGGTAAGCTGATCCTGACCCGCCTGATTCAAGCAAAGCGCGCCAATAGCGTTCGGAATGGATTGAATGACCTGTCCTCGAATTTCAATTGCGGAAATATCCGATAAACTCGCTGTGTATCACTCACCTCGATAACGGGCTCAACACCCGACTCGACGACACCGTAGAAAACCTCGGGTAATCCTGCCTCCTGGATGACCGAAAGACATGTAGGCTCATTGTGCACAAACGTCGCCATGATGTTGATGACTGCATAAGATTATGTTAGCATCTATCTACGAGCAACCCCCAGAACACGTACCGATTGGGAGAATGCTAGGACCAAAGACTGTCCTATTTTCCATAATCTTCTTAGCAGACCTCAGAAGTGACGAGTCCAAGAGACCGCGCAGGCCTTCCGCTGTGCCTGATGACTGCATCATACGATGCATTGAACGAAGAGTGTGCTTTAAGACAGCGGCACGAGGAACTAAAAGTTTCCCTGGAAAGCACAATAAATAGTGGCTATCTTTATTACAGTACATGTACGTACCGAAAGAAATCACTACTTCACGAGAGGGTTCCTCAGTGGAGCATTGCGCAAGATCCAATTCAACTTCGTACTATACGATCATCTATAACGTGATCGCTTGGATAATTGGCACAACTCACCTCTATCCTGTCTACTAGGACCTCAACACCGCGTCCGTTGCAAAACAACTGGAAGGCGTTGTTGAATCCATAGAGTACATTATCCAGAAGCTGCATCGTCTTGGAGACGACGTATAGTCGGTTAGGTAGCCGATTCTCGATCACTTGGATTAGCAGAGGTACCAAACCGGCACCAACAACCATATTACCCCCAGACGCATGCGTGGCAACAAAGGTAACGAAGGAGAGTAGGGACTCCACAAAAAATTGCGGAAGCGTAGAAGTGGGCTGGGCCACATCTACAACGGTCTTTCGTAACAAAGCCATCAAGACACCATGATTCACCCCAGCGTTAACAGCTGTCAAGACGTCTTGGATCTTGTTCCTGTAGCGACCGAGCGAATCGAGGGCTGCGATTGCGACATTCTGTACCTGCACATCCACGTCCCGATCCAATTGGAGAAGCTCTGCGATGTGTGTAATCATGTCAGGCTCGTAGAGGAACAGCATCGACTGGGCCTGCGACTCTACGTGAGTATGCCCAAAGATGGCTGTAGCAAGAAGACGAATCATCACGAGCTTCTCGCGATCAGAAGAGTACGCAGGTGTTAAAGCACGAGCGGTTCTGATGCGAGTCAAGAGCTCGAATTTCTCGTCATCAGGCACGGAGTACATCTCCATGGCGTCGGCTAGGATGTCCATGGGTTCTTTAGACTCGATAGTACTGCTCTCGATGTGAACAATAACGGCCCCCGAAGAGGATCCTTGCGCCGTTGAGCCAGCACCTGAGGACGCACCACCCTTACGCGTTGGGGTTTGCGGAACGACGTCGGTCATCTGCACTTCTGAGCTCTGACCTTTGTCTTTGTATGTAGGTAAAGGCAACTTCTCATTCTTGTAGAACGTGAAATTGACTTCTCGGGCTTCGGTAGGTAGGGCTTCGACCTGTGGCTTGCCCTTCTCGGTGACAAGATCCACTAGATTGATATCGTATTCGCGTAGATTGGACCACCGCCTTGCGAGTGAAGTGAGGCGTGGCGTCGAGATACTAAGCGCGTGAAGTACCGCAGGCTGGGATGAGTATTGCTGGGCGGGGCGCAACAAGAGATTGAGAGTGAGGATAAGCACATCCAGATCAGACGTAAGCATCAAGCTGTTCAACCGCTACAAAAATTTTACATGAGTGCACAACATGTGGACGGGTCGGAAATGGCCGCTTACATCATAAGAGTTGAACGTTTTCCTGTTGGTCGAATTCTCGAGCAGCAGACGTTCGAATCGGAGAATCTCGCATACAGTCTTTTTGGTCACCGGAGTGAACACGTTAATTTGCAGCTTGTCGAGATCGTAATCTCGAATCACTTCTTCCAGGATGGCGTCGAATTTATTGAGTACCTTGATCCACGCGTTCAAATCAGACCGCGGCCATCTCCAAGCATCCATCTGGCTCAAAACTTCATGGAGTTCTTCGTTAGGGGTGTCGTGTAGCTTAGTTATGAGTTCTGCGACCTGGGGAAGCTAGAAACAGCAGGCGTTTATCAATATACGAGGGAGGTCAAAGATGAATTTACTCACAGGAGTCAAAGGCCTCTTGGCCTTGTGAGTGATCCTCATGTTCCTCGACAGACGAGTTGAGGATACGAGATGGTATAGCTTCTTAGCACCCCTGTTTGTTTGTGGATTCTACGCAGTAATGGTTGCAGCAGGACGCAAGAGCACTCAGACTCTGCGGTGGCGGCTAAGTAGGCTAGTACTTTCCTGCAGGGGGCTTACGCGGTGGGCGAAAGGCCATGGCCTTCTATGGAAAAATCTCCCACGCTCACAAGACGCGACCCATTACACGCTCTTGACGCGATGCCCATTGCTCAGACGCGTCCGACTCTCACCTGCCTCTTACCTTCACATTCATATACAACCATGGTCAAACGCAAGGGTCAAGATTTTAGTGACGACGAGGAAGAAACAGAGTTCTCTCCGTCTGATTCGAAGTCTAAGCACCCCGTGAAGCAGGCAAAAGCGACCAAAAGTCAACAGGTCGGCCTGGCCCTTGGTAGAAGGTGGCCGTCACTTATTAGTGCACTTTCAGTCTAAACAGCCTAAGAAAAAAGAGAATTTCGTTCCTGTTGACGGCGAGGAGGGATCGCTACCACAGCCGAAGAAAAGGCGAACGAGTATCTCTAAGGCACGCGACCCGGTATCTCCGTTTCGAGACGCGACTAACCTGTCAACAACTAGCCTCAAGCTAAAGAAACCCTTGCTGAAAGTGAGGAGGAAGCGGATGGAATTACCTTGAACGTCAAAAACAATGACGAAGGTGATAAGTACCTCGATCTCGGCAAGAAACGCCGTGCCACTGTTCGTGCATTCAAAGGAATGTGTACAACATACCTCGCGTTCTGAAGGGGAAACTGACCATTCCTCACAGGATCCGTATTCCTGGACATTCGAGAGTATTATGGTCCTGAAGGGGATGAAAAGCCTGGCAAGAAAGGGGTTACGCTTTCTCAGGAGCAGGTCAGTCACTCGCCATCTCCACTGGGCTGTCTTTACTATATCTCGTACACAGTGGAATAAACTGAAACAGAGCTCGGAAGTAATTGACATACTGTTCAAGAAGGCCAAGAAATGACGGAGTGTATAATAGTTGCAATAATTGGATAAGTGTTCGCGTCTCTACTATGTTCTGTGTTGTTATTGGCATCTTGTATTATAGGGCGAAGAATATACATGTAATTCCTTTCCATGTCCTGGTGTAGATGCTCCTAAGCTAGTCCTGCAGCAGCTTTATGTGCCCCCTGTAATCCTCCCACGGCGTAGAGTCCCCAGACCCAAGCCTTAGTCTTGACCGTGTAGGCTCTGAAGTCCATCCATATCTCTGCCAGAGTCAGAGATCTATACGTCCTCTCGTATCGCCTGCGCGCGATCAGTCCATGCGTGATATCGACACATGCACAGACAGACATACCACCATTCCCTGAAGTAGTCGTATAAGAGACCCAGAGACATGATTCCATTCTCGCGCATTTGGGATATGAGTTGTCTCCTTGTGTCCTCCCATGCGGCTCGAGTGCAGTATTTGGCTGTTACTAGAAATACCCGAACCTACATTGTACATGCTTGAGCCATGCACGGAATGAAGTCTAGCACTGCGCTTACATTAGAATGTGTTGTTGCAAGCGCGCGATCAAGACTCCTGCGATCAATTCAGATAAATGTCTATTGAGCCGACTCATTCGGCCTACCTTGTTAGATCGTTCAGTTTTAATACCATCAACACTCTTCTTGGTACTCTCCTCAATACGTCAAAAACCGAAAGCAATAGACCTTCTTGTTCTACGACTGCCTTGCGAATAGCCTCCATCTCCGCTGCAGTCTGGGCGGAGATATCAGTCATACTTGTCCCTCGTTTAAAACCCGCCTTGTCTGCAGACCCTCCAAACTCGTCTGTCGCCGGATCCTTGAGCACTGCCCTACCGGTGAGCGCAGCCTCAAATACCGGATACTATACGATATGTTTAGTAGTCCCAGTCTAAGCACATATTCTGTCGAGAATGACTCACAAGGGCATCGTCGATATTACCCACGAGCCGCGCATACTTCTTGCGGTCAGCTATGGTCTCCGGCGTGGCAGGAGCAATCAAGGCGAGCCAAAACTTGCTATAGTTGATTCGTAACTCCTGATCCAGATCGAAATACAAGCCATGATCAAGTAGAACAATTTCAAAATTGTAAGGCGACTTTGACTGTAGAGGTGCAGATCGTATCAAGAGATTTCCTGGATGAATCGTTAGGTATATGTGACCAATGCTTGGAAGAGGGTACCTGGATGTGGGTCCTATATATCATCAGGCTTTCAATGACCCAGGAGTATCACGCAGCACACTCACTGCGTGAAACCATCCATTTAGATGAACCATTTGACCAAAAATTCGCGCTAACTCCAAGGCTACCTTATTCCTGTCTATGTCATGCTGTGCCAAGTATTCCAAGTCATCAACCCGGCCGCCTTGGATATACTCCATTACGAGTAGTCTCTTTCCAGAACGTAGAACTCTAGCTACAGACCACTCCTTGAGATTGTGCATGGCCTAGGATCAGTATATATGGTTACTCACGAATATATAAAGAGGTTCTGATGTTACTGAAATCGGCCGTGGCTTGCAATCCGTTCCTAGCCTCATGCGTGAAATCCATTTCTTTGGGTAGGTTTTCTCGCATCTCCTCTCCCAACCAAGTAAATTCGAAGTCGGGGAACCAGTGCTTGATCCACCCTACATGACGTCGTCAGCATAATCCACTCAACACAGCAGTCATTTAATCTAACCAAGCGACACCTCAACCATTTCCATGTCAATCTCACAGAATTCGTCTAAATGTGGATGTTGAATCTAGGCGATCCAGAGTATGAACACTAGCTATCAGAAACCAGTAGCACGAGGAGACACCTTCACTGCAACCTCTTCGCCGGTCTCTTTCCACCTTGCGACATGCACTTGTGCAAGACTTGCTACACCGATTGGGTTTGGATCAAAGTCATCGAAATATTCAGATAGTGGCCGGTGCATATCTGTCAAGAATAGCTTCTCTACGTCTTCGTACGGTGTAGGTTCGCATTTGTCCTGAAGAGGGCGCATAGTACTCGTCCACTCAATCGGGAGCACTACTCTATCGGACCGCTTTAGAGGCGATGTATCGAGCGCAGGAAGTCGCACTCACAGTGATGCTATATGCTGACCTAACTTGATGAAAATGCCTACGATGGAAATTTAGTAAAAGAGACTGATACATTCGGGCATGTACATACCTCCATTTGCCAGGAGCGCTCTCAATACCCGTTCAGCGCTGCGTTCATGACACTGCGAGTATGCATCCTGCAGTGCTTCGTCTGATTCGTAGCTTTTTGCAAACGTTAACTTGTAGTCTATGGCTCCAAGAATTGCAGCCTCTACATGTGTGTGACAATCAGTTCATGATCAGTTCCGAATAAGAAGCTCTACAGGAACGTACTGGCAACTCGCGAACATCGCACGGTCGCTAAGGTTGTGTGGCGAAACGGTTGACTATACTGGTACGCAATAGTACCAGATCCTGAGAGAGCGAGGATGACGGCAGTCCAAACGAGCCATGTCCGCGGTCCTCTGGGACGAAAAGTCTGATTCGATGGTATTGACGGCGAACTCGAATTTGAACGGCGGTGCGGGGCGTGTCTTGTGACACATAATCTGAGGGTGTTCTTACCCCGAAGATGCGTCGCTGTTAGATGTGTGTAGCCGCGGCCCAGGCTGAACATCGATGGCGAAGGCGGAGAAGAAAGACCAGCTAAACGGGGGACATGAGGATGGCGTCCACACTTGATAGGTTGACGACTCGAGAAGGATGAGCTATGTGCTATGTGCTATGTGCGCGTTGAGTCCCGCCCAGATTGAGAGCTTTCTTAGAACTAGAGCTTACGTAAAGGCAATTTATATTATTCATTTCACTTAATCATTGGCCCAATCAAGTTGCTTGTCTCAGCCCTTGAGCAACTTGTCCGCTCAGGTTGGGTCAAAGACCAGCCAAAGTGGCTAGCTAACTGCTAAGTCATATATATATTCGTTCCTCTCTCTCTTCCACACAATCGGTCCTTATATCGGACTAGTATGTCCTAATAGTTCGCAGTGGTGTACTAACGGCTCGTAGTCCCGGGATGATTCAGCGTCCCCGTATATTAGACCTTAACAAACCCGTAGCTCGAACACGGCCAGTTTCACAATAATCTAGATCTCAAAATTCTTTTCATCCCAAAATCTTGCGCAGAGTCCTCGGACCGAGTCACACCTCGCCCGCATACTTGGCCTCAGCGGTCCCAGTGCATCGTCACGGAATTCGCTCATGCTATCCATGAGGCGAGTGATTTTGTCCGATACTCTCTTATTGAAGGAATCGAGAACTCTCAAGTCGCGCGTAAAGAGAATGTTCTTGTACAGCTCTATTCCGGATTGTTCGGACACCAGTGCATTGTACTAACTATACGCCTCCGTACCGAGCCCAATCTAGACGGTGTCCTCATTCGCCCGCATTTACTTAGCGATCAGTCATTCGGGGTCCACCAAATCGGCCAAGTTGTCACATTCAGTGACGACTGCGAGATATTAACTGCGGGCAGAGGACAGCTCGGTTATCTCGCTGCAAACGGACAGCCCACACACGCCGGCCCGTCCCTGAACGCTCTCGCCTACTCTCCTAGAGATCGTGCACGGGCGGACGCATCGCTACGACCTCTTCTCGCGCAACTGCCCCTGGCTGACGGGTCGCCTGTTCTCCCACACCCGCAAGTACGCCCACTACTGGCTCGCTGGCACGGCTGCCCCCAACGTACTGCGACAATACACCGTGGGACAATGCGATGTCGTGCGTGCGCCAGTGCGCTCATCATTGAGGACCCAGCAACCCGTGCAGTGGGGGACTACTGCGCTAGAGCTGTGAGGGAGGATGCAAACATTTTTCACCGCTCTTGCTCCGGACCACATCTTACTCAGGACGAAGAGGTTCGATTGGTGATAAGTGCGTGAACCCCTACTGCCGCTGGCATTGACGTGAACTAGTACAATTTATGTGGCCAGCGAGTATTATAACTGTGACGTCGTTGAAAGTGACTGGGCGGGTCTTAACCAAATGGTTCCATGTATGGCGCACTAAACATGGAGTAGATTGGCAAAAGCTTACATTCCGGGAATAAAAATCAATGATACAAGAGTGCGATGAATGCAATATTGACAGCAAAGCGCAGCAGGAAGACAGAAGAAGGCGTGAATCCAACTCATCGGGCGCTCGAACTACTTCTATTGTTGAGTCCGAGGGATATTCGGTGGGATGACATTGCGTCTTCGCTCTTGTGCATGGCTTCTGCGTATCTAGATGACCAGTATCAGTCAAAAAATTTCTTGGTGCGTAGCATGGAGAGCATACAATAATTTGTATCGCACAAGCTCCGACTCTAAGTCTTCGTGCTTGAGGCGAGCCCTCACAAGCTCATTCTGGCCGCACCAGTCATAAGGTCAACCAATAGTCATTATGAATCCATGACCACGTACCAAGAGTTCACAATGTTCGGCATTAAGCTGCGCAAGACTGGACTCTAATGTTTTTCTAACCAGATCGTCAATAACCACAGTCGATGAATGAAGAAAAGGGCAGCTACATACACTTGGATTGACAGATTGCGATTACTGTTCCGAAGGGAATCCATTTCGATTACATTTGCATCTCGAACGCGGATCATCTCATCGTATTCCTGCGCATAAGTGTCGAGCATAAAAGATGTAATCTTCAGTGCGAAACCGTCCTTGATGAATTGGTCCACATTATATTTGGCATTGTCCTGTGCATTGTCGCCCGTAGACGCGGACGACTCCAGCTTGAAAAATGAGGAGTGCTTGGATGGAAGCCTAACGAGAAAAAGCTACGAATAGTGCGTACCTTGTATACATCAAAGACAGCGCCATTCAAGAACGCAATAAGCTGATCAAACTTGAGTTCGAGCAAGCGCGTCTCATTCTTGAGGAGGATGACAAGACTGAATGAGAACATAGCTTCTATACCACTTGCCAGACAATTGTCGTATATTCGGAAAACCACATCCATAGGAAAACTAGGGGCAGAATGAAACAGCTCAATTTCCCGGAAAATATGCAGAACTCACCGGTAACTGAACATTGTCAAGAACCATTGTGAGCAGTACATGCTGGACTTCGCACCTTGGCGCAAAAAGTGCACGTGTAGAACCGGTGCGAGCTCTTCTATCAGACGTTCAAACTATGGCTGAATAAGTTGGAAGGACTAGCTCTGGCCTGTGGATGGATAATACCTGGAACTGAAAAATGATATGAGAAGAAAAATATATCTAGGACAGGAAGACTTACAAGCCGCAGTTGTAGTTTGGGCATATCAGGCAAGAAATGGCCCCTTAGATCATACGAATACATCAGCCTGACCAGCAAGCAAAACGCCTCCTCATCGGGCATCTGCACACTCTGGGGTAAATAATGTTTTCCAGTATCAGAAGTAGGGCTTACGTGCAACAACAAAACAGCTGCTACGAATGGCAATCCCTGGCAATAGCCGACTTGGGTGTCGTACCTTGTCTTCCTTTTAGTGTATAGTTGCTAGAAGCACAATGCAAAAACCCACAGAGAGTATGCTTTGAGCACGTTGAACAGATTTTCTTGACCAATTCCTCGTCCATCGGTAAAGAATGCATGATGTGGGAAGGTCCTACAACCCATTTAACATCCTCCTTCAAAACCTAGCACTGAAGGAGTACCTTCCAAGATCCCTCGTAATGGCCTTCTCATGCGGACTTGGCTCTTTGATAAGTTTCAAATATGTACTCTCTAACTCCGGATCTTTCGAGGCGGTCCTAGCAGAGCAGTCAGTCTGACAGCTTGGCGCCGTGCAACGCCTCGAAGGCGTACTACATTAACTGCCATATCATCCCGCGTATTGTCTTCGGAATGCCGCGACCAATAGCGGACGCCAGCTCCTCGGGGTATTCGGCAGCAAACTTCTGGTAATCTATCGACTTCGGTTGGTTCGAACGGTGTAGGACAAGTGCATATAGGAATGCTCCGCACCAGAAATGACGCTTCCCCAGAAGTCTGCAGACAAAGCGAATCGTCAAAGTCTGCCTACTTTGCTAGCACACCTCAAACTCACTCCAGTCTACAGTGCTCTCCTCGTTATCTTCCGACTGCCTCTGGAGATCGTCGTGCTTGCGGGAGAATTCTTCATGTATCCGCTGCTGACTTTGTCTGCTACTCCGCTTCAAGTTCTGATCTTCCTCTCCCTCTGCGTTCTCCCGCTCTATATGGGACAGCATGAATGGAACATTCGAACCTGACAGAATAGTTGATGTAGAAGCCGATTTCTTGTGCCCTGATGGTGGCTCGATCACCAGTGCATTCGCATCGTCAAGTGCAGAGGAAAGATTGATCGTCTGCCTGCGGTCACCCATCTGATGTACCGAGTCTATTGAAGTTAGGGATATCGTAGAGTCTAAGCTCTGTCGTGCGCTGCTGAGGGTGACAGTTGAGAAGTGGGCGTCGTCGTCGATGGCATCAGATGCTGCAATGGATGCGGGCGTAGGAAAGCGGGCCTCGGGATCGGTGGGAGAGAGCAGGGCGTCGAGTGTAGGTGACGAGACAGTACCCAATGGCTTCGGGGTGAGCGGGTTATCCTCCTGGTCATGGTCGATGTGAAGGCTTTCGGACATGACAACTGCTCGAGCAGGCCGGGCTATAGAGCAAGACGTTTGGAAATAACAGGATCACGGATTATGGGCTGAATACAGAAGTAAATGTAACAGGATTTGGACGCTGCACCGCCTCCAGACTAGGGAACGAGGAATCGTTGATCGATCGGGGCAGCTATGCAGCTATTACTTAATATTACAGCTTGATGCACGGTAGCAACCTCTAAGTACTACCAGTGTTACTGGTGTATAGATGAGATCATTCATCCCGGCGCTCTCAGGCTAACCCAACACGTAGGATTCCTGGTCTACCAGAGCGGAGAAACTCCGCCATAATAGCAGAATCGACTGCGCACGTCTCCCAGGTCTGGGCGGGGACGCCGTCTCGGGTTCACTATGCTACCTTGCAGTTGGCTAGTAGGCCAGTGCGGCGTAGATCCACAAGCGAGTTGGGCTTAGAACATGTTCTTACTGTTTTCGTTGGTTTCTGGTGAAAAAGAGATTCTGAGTGCGAAACGAAGAGCGTGTTCTGACGACCGGGTAGGCTCGTACCCAGTCGTTGTAAATTTGGAGCTCCGTTGCGAAAACAGCCAACGTCTGGGCTAACTTGGCAGGCCCAATGAAAAATGACACGAATTAAAATCAGAAAATGAGATAAACCAAATTTACATAAATTACATAATTCAGCTTGCTTCAAACATTTTCAACGCAACCCATCGAGTGATTGTCTCGATTTAAAAATGTAATTTTCCACTAGGTGGTCGTGCGACCGTGAGAAAAACGACTTGAAGAAATCGAAGCGAGTGGTCTGCCCAGGGATGTCGATCAACGCCCTGGGTAACATAATTTACCTATTCTTGCTATTTACTGGACCACGCCTACAAGAGACACCGAAGACCATGCGTGCAGCAAACCTAACATCCTGGTCACTTCAACCTAAGCCAGAAAGCCCACCTTAGAGCTGTTAACTGTGATCAGAAGTGGCCTCCGAATGAATTTAACTAAGGCTGCAGCCTCCGGTTGGATATGCACCATCCAGCCGGAGGGCCCATTTTCCCGACCCCGTATAATAGAGCTCCCTCAGTCCAATCATGTGAGGATGGATTGCTCTGAAACACGGGTTCTAAGTGTGTGAATTAAGCATCTTTTCTGTATGTAGATCGGCGGGCCCGACTTTTGGTGATGACGGGAGCGAGGGATCGTTGATCGATCGAGGTGTGCAACTGTTACCTGGCATATTACACCTTGATGCATAGTATCAACCTCTAAGTACTGCCAGTGTTCTTGATTCGTAGACGAGGTCATCAAGTTCATTCAGGCTAACCCAACTCTCCACCTCGTAGCATTCCTGGACTACTAGAACAGAGAAACCTCGCCGTGATAGCAGAATTGACGGTACCGCAAACCATGACTTACACTGCAGGTCTGGGCGAGGGCACACACCATCTCGGGCTCACTGTGCCAGTGTGCAGCACAGGCCTGGCCAATACGACGAGCAATCGACGAGCCACTGTGCTCGTCTAGGCTGACCGCTGATTAGGAGATATCCGTCTTGGTCTCTAGCCCAGTGTTCCTGGATCCATGTTTGCCATGTGCATGCCTTGAAGCTCGATCGCGCCCCTTCCTTACATACAGGCGTGCTGACTACTTATCGCGCTGCGTGCGCAACTCCTCTCACGCTTATATTCGCTAGCACTTAAATAGCATGTGCCGACATTGAACTACGGCTGTTCCTCCTCCGAAGCCTCTCCCCTCCCTATCTCCTCATCTTCCTCCTTCACCCCCTCGCCCACCCCATATTCAACATGGGCGCATCTGGATCTAAGCCCGTAGTCGCCGCTGCTGTCGGCGCACACGACGAGAAGCAGGCTACTCTCGAGCGAGTCGCAGCTTCCTTATCATCTCTACACTTGCGCCCCGTCGCCTCTGCAGACGGCTCTCTGTCTTTGGCCAACGTAGAATTCTGGGAGGACACCATCACCGCTGACCCCAAGCTCCAGCTCACCCGCACGATCCTCCCCCAGAACGACCTCCGATCCACCTTCATCTCCCGCCCTGCTAAGATCGCGGACGCCCATGTCTTCAATACTCAGCTCGACTTCGAAACTGGACCAATCACCAACCAGAAGTCGTCTGGCCGCTGCTGGCTTTTCGCCGCGACTAACGTCCTGCGATACAACGTCATGAAGAAGCTCAACCTCGAGGACTTCCAGCTCTCCCAGGTACTGTGTCCCGTTCTGGTCGCCGACAATGCATCTGACACTGCTGCAGTCGTACCTGTTCTTCTGGGACAAGCTGAACAAGTGCAATTACTACCTCGAGCTCTCCATTCAGCATGCAGATCTCCCGATTGACGACCGCATCGTGTTCCACACCGCACAAGATCTCATCAGCGACGGAGGTCAGTGGGACATGATAGTCAACCTCCTTGAGGTACGTAGCCTCACCCTCTTCCGTGTAGTAAATCTAACATCGTTCATAGGGATACGGTGTCGTCCCGCAAGCGGCATACCCCGAGTCTCTCCACTCCTCGCTCTCCAGTCCGCTCAACGGGATCTTGAAGCGCAAGCTCCGTGAGCACGCGCTCGTCCTGCGCTCGCTTGCGGCATCCTTGCGCGCGGCCGCTCAGTCAGAGCCCCTGTCTGAGGAATCAATTCTGCGCTCGCTCCGGGCTAAGAAGGAGGACCTCTTGAAGGACGTGTACACGATTATGACCGCGACGCTTGGCGTGCCCCCAAAGCCGACAGAGCAGTTCTCGTGGGACTACTACGACAAGGACGGCAAGGTGGGCCACTGGGAGGGCACCCCACTCGAATTTTGCAAGACGTTCGCAACCAACAAGTTTTTGGTGCGCACGCTAATGATCTTGGCACCCAATTACCGTCTGATCGTTATTATGCCCAGCCAACCGACTCGTTCTCGCTTATTCACGACCCGCGCAATGAATTTGGAAAGCTCTATTCGGTCGACAAGCTCGGCAATGTGTGGGGCGGACGCGACGTGCTCTGTAAGTTTCCTGCATCTCCTCTGCTCAAGGCTCAATGTAGCGCGAAGCTGATGCTATGTCCCCTCTCAGACGTGAATACGGAGATCGACAACCTCAAGGACGCGGTTGTGAAGATGATCAAGGCCGGCCAACCCGTCTTTTTCGGATGCGACGTAGGCCAGTTTTCTGATCGCGAGGCTGGCGTCATGGATACCAAGCTCTTTGAGTACGAGGTACGCATCTGACCTGCCTGTCACACGGCACTCATCTTGATCCTGCGCCGATGCAGAACGCCTTCAGCATCAAATTCGGGCTCACCAAAGCTGACCGCCTCCGCACGTCTGAGTCTGCGATGACACACGCGATGGTTATTTCGGCCGTGCACCTCGACGCGGCGGGCAAGCCCGTGCGCTACAAGGTCGAGAACTCATGGGGCGATGCCCCAGGCAACAAGGGCTACTACCTCATGACCGATGAGTGGTTCGAGCAGTGCGTATTTACAACGATTGATGATTCTGTCAGTGCTCATCCGGATTTGTTTGTAGGTTCGTATATCAAGTTGTTGTGCCCAAGGCACTTGCGCCCAAGAACCTCGTCCAGGTGTTTGAGAAGGGGGAGAAGACGATGTTACCCTTGTGGGACCCCATGGTACATGTTCGTTGGCTCGTAATTTGTCATTGTGCTTACGTTCTCGATGCAGGGTGCCCTAGCGTAAACATTCTTGGTCGTTGTAATACAAGAGCATCTACCGTCTGTACTATACCTACCTTTTATGGTGATTTCGATATCTTCATAGTGAGATTGCGTGCGTCATGTGTGAGTTTCGAAGATGTCCCCCTCTAGATATGCTGTGCAGTACTTGCAAGTATATATATCCTGCCCTCGTGTGTCACTCATCTCATTTTTTGGCTCTACGGATAACATCTGATGTAACAACGAATATAGTGATTATCTGTAAACATGATGGACACCGTAGCGACGGCACTACAGGTTTCTTTATCCCGCTCTCCAATAAACGCCTACTTATTCTCGATGTCTTGTGTCAAGATGTACCGATAGCGAACTTTGTTCTGCTTCACACCCTCAAGGGCCTTCTTGACATCGCACATCGGCATCTCTTCGATCCATGGCTTGATCTTTTTCGACCTGGCTAAATCGAGCATCTCGAGACATTCCTTCTTGCTTCCTATTGCGCTGCCCCCAAGGAAGCATCCACTCGGCACAAAGCTGAAGGCATGAGTCTCTGGCAAAACATTATTTGCATCCGGAAGTCCGACAGTCACGAATTTGCCGTGCACAAACAGCATGGATAGATAAGTGTCCAGGGACATATTCTGGTCGAACACGTCTCGCGTCGAAATGATGAGATCTAAGGCACGGGAGAGTGGTTTGTGGAAGTCCTGTGGATCAATCGATCGTTATCAGAACTCCGGAGCATCTCGTCAGTCTATGAACGATTCGTTGTACTTGCCTTGTCGCCAGTGTTCACGATATGGTCAGCACCCATCTTCTTGATATCGTCCATCTTGCTACTGTCGTGCGTGAATGCATACACTTCCGCCCCCATGGCCTTCGCCCAGAGAACTGCGTAGTGCCCGAGGCCCCCAATGCCAACCACGCCGACCTTCTTCCCTGGACCAGCGCCATGGGTCTTCAGCGGGGAGTACACGGTCAAACCCGCACACATCATAGACGCTGCGTGTCGAGACTCAATTTCGTGGGGAATAGGGAAGACAAACTGTTGGTGTGCGCGTATAGCAGTAGAGTACCCCCCCTGGCTGATGACGCCATCGGGATACTCGCCGTTCTGGGTGTATGAGAAGGTGAGCATGCGTTCCGTTGGGATTATAATGTCGCCTTCAGGAAACTCACATATGTTGGGATGCCCTTCGGGCAATAGTTCTCATAATCCGACTCGCACGATTTGCAATGCATGCAGCTCCCGATCTGCGCTCCGACCCCGACACGATCTCCTGCCTTGATGTCCTTGACATTGTCTCCAACGCGGACAACCTTCCCGACAATCTCGTGGCCGACGACAAGGGGTAGCTTGCTTTTTCCCCAACCCTGGGTGAGGGTATGGACGTCGGATCCGCAGACACCGCAGTGCGTGATGGCGATCTCGACATCGTCCGGCTGGAAAGTCTTGGGCTGGTAGGAGAGGACTTGTAGGTCGGACCATTTTCTCGGATCTGTATGAGGACATGAAGTCGATCTATGATGTTGGGAACATGCATATAGTCGCCAAAATAGTATGAACACTTGCCAGTGAGAGCGTAGCCTTTGAATTGGATGGTGTTCGACATGTTGGGAGGATGGAAAGAGAGGGCAGCTGAAATAACCCAGGAAGTTCTGACTTAAAAGCTGCAAGAGCCACGGTACACACCTCTACGTCATCGCACGCAAGGACTGACAGACGTAGCCCTATGGAGGCGCTTCTCGACAATGGATACCATATTTGGCAAGAACCCTACCTCATTGGGAGTGGCTGAGCCACTGGTGGCACCGGCGGACTTTGACTCTCAGACGGCATACGTGCAAAATATTTTCTGGAGGTTCTGTGGATAGCGACTTCGTCCTCGGAATATTCAAGTGTTATATTCCATCTCTTTTGAGTACGGACGTCAACTTCGCACGTTCACTGAGGTCCCGTCGCCGAATTTTGCACTGTGCGGCAAGTTCTACGGTCGATATCTCAATCATCAGTGAGAATCTATGGAAAAAGTAGTACGAAAACCAATCGCTTAGGAGGCGCCACACCTGACGTATGGATATGGCATCGTTTATTCTTCAAAGGACAAAGCAAGGTGATTGTCTCACAATTGAGAGGCCAAAGCACCGGCAATCGATATGCCGCCACTGCGGCTCCCCGGCCAACACTTGGTGCTTTGACCGTATAGCCCACCAGGGCCTTGCATGGCAAATATTTGCAAACATCACCCAGAGAGTATATTTACACCCCTTACCCAGCCTGTCTCGCTTCGCACAGCACTTCGGTCGATGCAGCTGGCTCCTCATACTAATCTATACTAATCTCGCCCCCGAAGGGGAGACGAGCAATCATTGACGGTGCGCATTTGCCTGCACTCGATTATCATTAAGGTGTCTGGACATTGTCCGCTTTGACGATTGAACCAGGAAGAGACTTCCTGGTTTCATCGTGAAAGTGAACAGTGTCTGGACACCTTCAAATCCACCATCCTCACGTTTACTTGTGGCCTGCTATGCTATACAAGTACCGTTCCATGATTCTTCCCGTACACGCCCTGCTTGAGCCGTCTAGACATCGCTCCCCGTGACGATTGAATCAGGAAGTTGGGACTCCCTGATTCTATCGTGAGGGGGAGCCATGCCTGGATGCTCACAGTTAGTGCATGTAATGTTGTAGTGCGCTTCCCCACCCCCTTCCGCGGCGGACTCATGAATTCATGTTGATTGTTTCCCATGGTTTAGTTTTGTGCTGGTCAAAATCTTACACTTTCACGAGCTTGCGTCCCAAATGCCAATATGACACTACCCCTGATAGCTGAATTACCATTCTGATAACGCTACGCTCGATGACCAAGTCAGGCTCTCGGTTCCATCACGAGTAGCTATCTGGAAGATTGTCCACTCCGAAGTTGATTGAGTAAAGATGCCTCGCATGGACTAACGTGAGATGGTTTCTACTGCTCGAGGGCAGGACTCATTCATCACCGCACGCAAATGGAGGATAAAAAGCTTTGATATTCCGTTGACAATATTGATATAATTATATGGCATGTCAATCGTTTTGACCCGTTCGTGCCTATTCAACGTCTAGTTAATATCTTGTGTTAAGACATACCGGTAGCGCACACGATTCGCATTCAAGTTTTCCAGCGCATGCTTCGCCTGCTTCATGGGGAGCGTCTCGATCCACGGGCGCACATTCTTTGATCGCGCAAGCTCCAACATCTCCAGACATTCCTTCTTGCTTCCAACGTGGCTACCACCAACAAGGCATCCATTTCCGGCGAAGGCGAAGGGATGTAACTGAGGTAGAGGGTTGTTGACGTTGGGAATGCCAACCGTGATAAACTTTCCATGTACCCAGAGCATGGACAGGTAATCACTGAGCGGTGTGTCAGGCTCATAGCTGTCTCTTGTCGCGAGGATGATATCAAGTGTATGAGAAAACGGCTTAGCGAAATCCTAAACGTACGATGTCAGCAGACTCGCTCCATAACAGACTTGGTACACTGACTTTGATATTAACGTCGATAACATGATGAGCACCCATTTCCCTGATATCCTCGATCTTGCTAGTGTCATGAGTGAACGCGTAAACTTCAGCGCCCATGGCCTTCGCGAAAAGCACGGCATAGTGGCCAAGTCCGCCGACGCCGACGATGCCAACTTTCTTTCCAGGGCCGGCGCCGTACGTCTTGAGAGGCGAGAAAACTGTCAGACCAGCGCAAAGCATGGACGCCGCGTGGGCCGACTCAATCTCGTCAGGAATGGGGAAGACGAAACGTTCGTGGGCACGAATGGCAGTGGAGTAGCCGCCTTGGGTGATGATACCATCGGGATATTCACCATTCTAGAATTCGTTTTGATCATAGCTTAGTAGTTTCGAGATGCGAAAGAACATATATGCATACATATGTTTCTATTTCGCTAGGGCAGTAATTTTCGTAGTCCGATTTGCAGGCCCTGCATTTCATACAGCTGCCGATTTGGGCACCGACGCCGGCTCTGTCGCCAGGTTTGAAACCAGAGACTTTATCGCCAACGCGGGTGACTTTGCCAATGATCTCATGGCCTACAACGATCGGAAGCTTTGGTTCACCCCAACCCTGGGAGAGGGTGTGGAGATCAGAGCCGCAAACCCCACAGTGGGTGATGGCAATCTCGACGTCTTCGGGCTGGAAGTTCTTCGGTTGAAAGGTAACGAGCTTCAGGTCAGACCACTTGGATGGGTCTGGAGACATTGTCAGCAGAAGAACGGCAGATCCAGGATTACAGACCAATCAGTGCGTAGCCCTTGAATTCGACTTGAGGCGACATCGCGTGTGATCGTTGAATGATAAACAGACCTGTGTGGACTATGGGCCATCGACAGGGGGTTGTTTATATACACTTTGGAAGGTGCCGGTGATCATTCAGGTGACGTCAGTTGTACAGCGAATAGATGATAAACGAGAAATAAGCATCCTCGAGACGGGCAGAATGCAGGGAGGCACCACCGGGAAACGATGGCACGGTACGTCCATAGGTTTCAAGCTCCAAGGTCCAGTAAGTGAGGCTCGTTGGAGTTCCATTACGCAGCTTTGGAGAGGGAAGGGCTTCGTGAGCGCAAAGGATGATGAGCAAGACACGTCACTGGCTGGTGCTGGCAGCTGGAGACTCGGACTCCGTGCCAAAGTCATTTCGGACGAGGGAGAGTGACGACTCGCCGGCGGTTTTGCCGAGCGCCCGATGAGATCGATCGAGGCTTGAATTTAGTCCACGTGCAGCCAGCCTTGTTTGGGTCACCACTACTTTCCGAGTTCTGGGAGCTCCGAGTCGCTCGCCACTTGGCTCGTAGCACGCTCTGCCATGCCACCTCGACGCCTGGAGCCGTCTTACATGGACGGAGACTCGGACTCTGATGTCTCGATCTTCGACGACTTTGGCGAAGGCACCCGCACAAAGGGCAAGGGTAAGGGCAAGGCCATCGACAGACGGCAGAAGGATAAGGGAAAAGGGAAGGCCAGTGAGGTCGGTTCGCTCAGTATCCTGCGACGTGGAAGTACTCACTGGGCTGCGCAGCAACCCTACGCTTGGGAGGCTTCCTATACGCGGTCATGGGACACTGTCCAGGAGGACGAGGCAGGAAGTCTGCAGGGAGCGGTCGAGGATTTGATTGCACGAGGAAGACGTCGGCGGTACGTCCCTGTATTGCGTTCAAAGTTTTCTCCATTCCGATACTCGCCGTTACTGTTCAAGACTTCTGGCTCCTGCTACTGCAATTCGAAGAGCTATAATCCGACACCTTGTCCTGCTCCTCGATCTCTCCTCCGCGATGATGGATCGCGACATGCGACCGACACGGTTTGATTTGATGCTCCAGTACGCCCGGGAGTTCATCACAGAATGGTTCGACCAGAATCCTCTGGGCCAGATTGGTATTGTGGGGATGCGAGGGGGGATTGGTGAGCGAATCGGGGAGATGTCCGGTACGACGCTTGCAGCTTGCGCCACTCACTGCATCATTACATCTCGGGCATGTTACGGTAGGAAATCCGCAGGATGTGCTAAAAGCTATCTCCGAGCGCCATAAACTGGAGCCGAACGGGGAACCAAGTCTCCAAAATGCCATAGACATGGCGCGGGCGAGTATGGGGTAGGTCTGCGTTTTGTTTTCCCGAATGAACTCTCATTCTCTAAATCGGGCAGACATCTTCCAACCCATTCATCCCGCGAGATCTTGATCATTTTCGGCTCGCTCACGACCTGCGACCCAGGGAATATTCACGACTCATTAGATGACTGCGTCAAGGATCGCATCCGAATCTCCGTTGTTGCGCTTGCAGCTGAAATGAAGATCTGCCGCGAACTTTGCGATAAAACCGGTGGTAAGCGACTCTCTTTATTATGAATAATGGGCCTTCACCATGTATCTGGCATCCTACACTAGGCCAATTTGGCGTCGCGCTCAATGAGGGCCATTTCAAAGACTTGCTCTTCGAGCTCATCCCGCCGCCCGCTCAGCGCGCCGTGGCGCGGACCAAGGGCGGACCCGCTGGCAACCCTTCGGCAGACCTGATGATGATGGGCTTCCCGACTCGCCTGCCAGACACGTCCGCACCGAGCCTGTGCGCGTGCCACTCACAACTGAAGAGCGAGGGCTTCCTCTGCCCGCGCTGCTGCGCCAAGGTGTGCGACGTCCCGACAGATTGCGACATCTGTGGTCTTATGATCGTCAGCTCGCCGCACCTCGCGCGGAGCTACCACCATCTCTTCCCTGTGAAGACATACAAGGCTGTGTGCGTGCGTTCCTGTTGATATGTACTGTACTGGCCGGCTAAGGTATCGTTCTGTGTATAGGATGGCCCTTGATGGCATCCTGGAGCCCAGCTTGAACTGCTACGGGTGTGCTACTCCTTTCAAAGACGCGGTGACATCTGTGACCGGTGCTTCTGGAGAAGGCATGAGCCCTCTCGGTCGGTATCGCTGTCCAGATTGCCACAACGATTTTTGTACCGACTGTGATGTATTCATTCATGACGTCGTCCATTGCTGCCCTGGTTGTGGGAAGTGATTTATCGATGAGATCGAGGATAATGTTGTCGCCTCGTATATGTCCGCCATATCCATCGCCGTCAATGATGAGACAGTGCCGTGCCCCGAGAAACTGCGTGTGGCAAAGTCGATCTAGCCAGCTCGTGAGCTTGGGCAAGGGGTATACCCATTACTTGCATGTACAATCACGCGGTATCAGGCTCAGGGAGTCATCTACTGATATTCGCAAATGTTTATGGCGTTGTAGTGGGTATAGGGCGAAGTACTCAACACATTAAATAGATACTACATAGACAAAGCGCGGACAGGGGCTGGCAAGATTAATAACAAGCAAAGGGCTACACTGAGAGACGTCTGGCTCACAAGTACAAACTACACTGGACAGCGAAATCATAAGGGAGAAGGGATCATTCAAATGGATTCGTGCGCCCAGCCTGAAATGACGAATGTATGGTTAGCAGGAGTTGACGCCACAAGATCTTGCACAACATACCTGGTGATCACCGCCACGATCTCGGCCCTCACTACAGCCGCATAACCATTCTGTCCACCACCGTATATCTTCGGGTGGCTCGCTTGGCGAAACCGAGGCCACTACGGGAGGCGGCACGGGCTCTGGCGGTCGATTTGTGTGCGGTATTTCGGTCCACGGCGGAGGACTGCGTGGTCGGGGGAGGTCAAGAGGCTGGGGCGGCGGCGCAGGCTGTCGAGAGAGAGACGACTTGAGCTTGGGATGCTTTGCAGTGGGCGTTGTAGGCGAGAGGTCGCCATCATTGAATGGGTTAATGGACACGGACTCTTTCATGATGCTGGATTGTCCGGCGTCGTTAAGGGAGAGGGTGGAGCCGCCCGGAGTAATGAAGGGATTTTCCCCTGCTCCAGGAGATGGTGGAGGGGACGGGGATACTGCGGGACTGGCCTCGATGTCGTCTAGGGGGACGGTGTCGTCAGCATTGCGCAGGGCTCGATGCGTTCCAACCCCGCCAAGAGATGCTTGTTTTGCTCGGCTCCCTGGCCATAGCCAGCTAGCCCTGCGAGAGAGGTCTGCAACCAACGACGGTCCAGTTGTCGCCGGCGTTGCGGACACCGTCGACGCGCGCACAGCCTTCCGCCGCTCTCGTTCTGCAGTCTCCCAATTTCGTAAATTCTATTGGGATAGGTGTGTATGCGCGCAAGGAGCATTGATCAACACTTGAAACAAAGAACTGATTGATCCAGACGCACCTCTTCTATCCTCCGTGATTCTGCTTCTTCTTCCTTGGTAGGAGGATATTCGTCTGCTCCTGAATACGTTTCTCCAAATGCCTCGGCATCTGCGGTTTCATCTTCATGTAATGTCTCCTGGTCGCTCTCCTTCTCCTTGCGTCTTCTCGCACCGGAGGAACTGCTCTCGGCAGACGAGCGCTCTCCCGTCCATGCGCTCGCTCGGCTAATGTCTTCTTCGTCCGGCGAAGGGACTGACGGCGAGTGCGCCGTCGAGGTCATGAATCTGGTCGTTGTCTTGTGCTGGAGTTAGTGGGAGTACTCGGATAAGCCTGTTGTTGTGGAGCGGCTCGCGCGAGCGTGTACATCACGCACAACCGCGTTCTGAACCTTCTTGGCAGCCATATATGGAAGCTGCCAATTCGCCTATGAATCAAGCGGTTGTTTGCTCAAAAACGCTATTAACCGGGTGTCTGATATTGTTTAAATCTGCTCCTTGTCCCTTACAATAACCACTAGCCATGGAAAAATCCGAAGAAAATTTACAAATCCAGTAGTTGTCATATGCACCTACAGCAAGTACTCATACTGGCAGTCGATCGCCTGAAGTCTTCATTCCCTATGTTAGGGCGCCCCGCTGGACTGCATATTCCCATAGTGAGGATGGGTCTGATCTGCATCGAACATCACGGAATCGTTGACCAAGGGCGATCCTCGTAACGTACTCCTACTACCGGGGACAGAAGGATAGTAGTCGTGGGCGGTCTTCTTCATCTGCATGAGGTTCTGACGCAACGCATTCTGATCGGCATGGTAAGCAAAGTTTAAGTGGCGTTATCTCATCGCCCACCTGTTCTTGCCAGTATTGTATGCGCTTCTCCCTCTCTGCATCGCGCTCTTTCTTATGGAAAAAGAACAAGCTCGCAAGTATCGTTATAATGGCTGTGAGATCGTATCAGCCATGAGACTCGACCATAGGTGCACTGGCACTCACCTCCACAGCCACCAGCTCCGACCACTGCATATACCCATGTCGATACATGAACCGGGGCATCGGTCCTGGGCCCACAAATACCAGCTGCCAGACAATTGTATGTCGAACATCTAGCGTGAAATATGAGCCGCATCTCATACTGCGAACGGATAGCTTACTCCTTGTCCGCACTACATGTAACACCAATATTCTTTGTCCGAATGCAGGCGAGTTTCTGACTATCACAATACGCACCAACTCTGCAGTTGTCTCTGGAAATGGGAGTCTGTTTTGTTTTCAACGGGAGCTGATACTGTAGAAATACCTAGAGACAACGTCCGGATAATTGATACCGTTGCGACCAAAAGCAACAAATGCAATATTCTGAACTTGACAAGCGTCGCCAACGGATGCATTCGCCCACCTGGGTGAGAGCTATCAGCGACAATCAGCATATTCAAGAAATCTCGAGCATACATGCACACATTGTTCAGACAAACAGATCCATTGACATTCAAACCAAACCCAGTTCCGTCGGTAAGTTCTCTGTGATTGGGTGGTCCTATGCACTGATCTGAATTTAATCATTGAGCAGTCGTCTTGCGGAGTAGCGGTATGACATACCATCTCGGTTAAACTGGCAAGGGCTACCAACTGTCAAGAGGGAGATGCATCGGTCCTCCTCATCCGGACAAAAACGACCAGTACCGCATAATGGAGGAAGGGTGACATCACTTGGATATCCAAAGGGGAATTGGTCCCTCCTACAACCTCTGAGCTCGCAGATTCCAGACGACGTGCAGTAATTCATCGAATCGCAATCTGTGTAAAAATGGTATGTGCCGTGCTCGAGTCGCTGGTTGCTCACGGAGCAATTACCTCCGCGTTGGACACTGCCAGCCCACACAGCGGCGACAACCCAAACTGATAGAAATATCAGATATGAAAACGCCATGTCTCTACTGAACAGAGGTGAAGCAGCAAGAAAATGAGATCAACTCTGGCCAGCAAAGCCAAGCTTGGTTGAGAATATCTGAAAGAGCCGGGCCGTGCCACAGCGAGGGTTCCCGCGAACGCGTCAAGGACGCGGTCACGTGTTTGGACGTCCACTGGAACTTGGAAGAACTGAACTGGAACTTGAAATTTAATCAGCTGCTACTTCAGTCCACAGCTCAGAGTCAGTTGTTCGGAGCGAGGTCTCATAAACTGACGTGCTAAAGGATGGCAGTGTCAGTGTACGAGGCCACATAGTGCAACATGATCAAGCACAGTTAATGAGTCAATGAATTTTGATTTAAATCGCGAAAAGTGACCAACCTTTCCCAAGTTTGCGGACGGCTATGACTCACCATTCGATATATTTTGCGTCTCAAATGGCAGTTTGATCCTCGCGATGATACGAAACGTATGTCAGAAGAATCCCGTAACAATTGTTGTTCCCTCTACTCCAACCGTGACGATAGAGGTAACAATACATTTCAATGGAGAGATTAGGACAGCCAATTATAGGTGCCAGGAGTACGTCTGCTAACTGCGTAGTAGGATCACTTGATGAATGTTACCACTCTTGGGAAACAATCGTGATATATGAGACTCCAGTAGCAACAGTGCACCTTGTGTCTTGAGTTCCGGATGGATAGGTGTCGAAGTAACCCGATGCGGCGATACAGCGGGCTCCACGATGTGCTCATCGAGTGTGAGGAGCTTTGCAGCCGTCATATCCTTGTCCGACGGTGGGGCGAGCAGGCAAGGCAGAATTGCCGTCCAAGCTGCCAGTACAACAGGCATACAGACCGGCAGTTTGTGTTAGACAGTCGAATGGCGACACCCAGAATCAGATCTTCTTCGCGATACCTCGCATAGTACCACTACCACTAGCCGACCGAGTGGAAGCAGAAGATGCAGGTCGCTTTATTGCTGCCGAAGCGACACCGCGCATCCCCCTGGTGCTAGCCGCTGCTGCTGCTTTCAGAGAACGACCGATCGATCGATCAGCTATCCCTGCATGAATGTAGGAACTTACCTGCACGCGGGACCACCCCTCTCAGCGACGCTCTAGTACCTCTCACACCTCGAACTCCACTCCCTCTCCCAGTAGATTTCGTGGCTTCAGCCCGTTCTCTCTGAAGCTTTTCCGTCTCCTCACGTTCCTTGCGCTCCTTCTCCTCCCTTTCTAATCGCTCCCTTTCACGCTGCTCTGCAAGTACCCGCTCTTCCTCTTCACGGCGTGCGCGAGCAATTGCTTCCAACTGCTCACGCTCGAGTATCTCTTCATCCTGATTGGTAAGAACAGAGGTGAGGGTGCAAGCCAAAATCCAATTTTCGGATGCATCTGCGTACCACTTCGGCACCTTGCCATCGCTTGTCCATAATCAATCGAGCGACGTTCTCCGATTTTGTCAGAAGGTTCACATACTTATCCAATAACGTGTTTGTATTTTCCAGTTGGATTGCCACTCGCTTTCAAGTTATCAGTCATATGTTAGTTCAGACTGAAATGGAACTAACCTCCGTACTCGATTTCGTTTCTCGAAGAGCATCTTTATAGGTCTCAAAAGCCGAGTTCAGTTTTTTTAGAATGAACAAATCATGCTGGAGCCTCTCTTCGCGAGACTTGGCAGCTGTTCTTTGCGTTTTCTCTATATCTTCCTGCCTCATCGTCTGATCAAAGACTCCTTCCTGGCCAACATCAACATCAACATCAACATCATCGCTCACTCCGCTCTCGTCTGCAATGTCAAGCTCCTGCTGAGAAGGTCGCGCAAGAAGGCTGAATTTTGGTCTGCGCGGTGGACCAGGTGGTGGACGATCGGACAGCGATAGTTCCGAAAGAGAAAGATCATCTCCACCGGGCCCGGTACGCAAGGAGTCAGAACTTGAGTTATGGAGGATCGACGATTCTGAGAGCAATCGAGAACCATTGTGTAAGTCGTTCAACTCCGAGATATTCGGAGAGTCCATAACGACCGTTCTTGGCCGTATATTTGGTCTTCAGAGCGAAAGATATCTGAGACTGTGCCGCGTCAAATGGGTCACTGAGGACTAGAGACCAAGAACCGTACTAGTCAAGCTGTGGCCACTCGCCCAGTCACATACTATGATACGAGTCGATAGTGTCACGCCGCCGTGAGTGCGTGGGGGCGCGTGAGCCGTAACGCATTTCATCCCGCTTCGCGGGGATTCAATTGTTCGTCTAGCGGAGCTCAAAGAGTTCAAGTTCCTCTCGTCCCCGACGACTTGCTCTGTGTTGCTCAACCTTCATGACTACGTCTCCGGTTTGACCTTGCCGTTCTTCTTGAGTCATGTCCGATACGAAGAAGAGACCGCACCCAGAGGATGCGGAGCAGTCTATATCCAAGAAACGGGCTGTCAGTGGCGATCGTAGTCCCAGTCAGGCCAATGGAGTTGCACCTCACCCCGACGAACCAAAAGATGGCGACAATTTGGAGGTGCATATTCATGTATAATTATCATACGTATTAATCTCATACAACGGTCGAGGATAGATTTTCCGGAAAGATGCAATATACAGGAGGATGAAGCACTATGCTCGTGAACACGAGAGGAGTGAGGCAAGAATCGTCGAATTGGAGCGACGTCGAAATACCTGCGAGGCAGGTTTGGCAGCATTGGAAGCGTGCTGGGCTCAGGTTCGTATCGAAGAATTATGACTTTGGGCTAACGTCTAAGCTCTGCGACAGATTGTCGATACGATTCGCCTCTTATTGAAACCTGATGACATACCGCCCTCAGCAGTCAAGGCAGAAGGTAATTTGTGCATGCGGATCTCGTAAATGTCAGTAGCTCTCATACGAAGTTTTGTAGAGCTATTCGACCTAAGTTATCACATTTCTGACGATTCCGATCCCGAGTACGCAGATGCATTGCGTAACAAGATGCATGCGACCAAAGACCTTGTCAATACGTTTATACGTTTGGGTGGGCAAGCCCTAGAAACCAAGGAAGATGTATATCGCAAATGCTGTATGGCCCAGAGTGAAGTAAGCAATCTGGCTCAACTGTTTGTTATCGAAATCAAATCTTTTCTATTGATAGTGTATATCTTTACGCTCTGAACTGTCTCTCACGCGAGTCAAGCTGAGAGATATCGAAGTTGAGCGAGACAGATATCGAGAAGACTTAGCTACAACCGAGAGACGCTGGGATCGTCTTCAGAGCAACACCGTGGCGGCCATCCAGGGTCGTCCAGTTAAGAATGAGACGAAAACTGAATCCCCAGAGCCCATTCCAGAGCCTCCAGCAGTGAGTGGTTTGGTCAACTGGTGGGAGTTTCGAGCGTTTCTGATTTGGGTGGCCGTCCTGACTTCACCACAGCATACGCCTTCTGTTCCCAGCGAGTCGGGTTATATGGAGATTGATAGTTTACAGCAAATCGCGGATATACGTGCACAACGAATCAGCAAGTTGGAACAAGAGAACAACGTTCTTCTCAACGAGATTGAAAAGTTCAAACTCGATGTACGTGAATTGTTATGCTGCTCTTCTTATAACTGACTCACTATGACAGCTACGTAACATTCCAGAGTCTGTTATAACGGGGTCCGCGTACTGGAAGGTTGTTATGGATCAGGCCTCGAAAGACAGGGAGATTATCACTGTGCTGCAGGACGAGAGGAACAAGCTTAACCAGGAGCTTGACCATATGCGGGCTAGTCGAGAAGACTTTGAGAAATCTATGACTGTTCGTATACTCTTGGTTTACAATGTTGTGCACTCACTTTTATTTAGGCTGCGTTGGAAAAAGTCACTCAGGAGTACAAGGCGATGTTTGCGAAGAAAAATGATGAGAATTTGCGTCTTCGTGAGCTGCGAGATCAGCAAGCTGCTGAACTAGCTGAGCGCAAGCACAAGGAACATGTCAAGCTCGGCTCCATCAATGAGTACAAGAACCTGGTGGATTCGTGTTCCGTAAGACATGCGAGTCTGCTCATAAGACTTCTTAATCAGATTTGTACAGGAACGTGTCAAAGTTCTCCAGTCGGAGACCATTAGATTGAGGACTAGACTTGCGGCGAACATTGGCGATGAAGACCTGATGGCATTTCTCTTCAAGGACAAATCTGAGACGCTTCAAGATTATGTCAATGATTTGAAAGCTAAGCTTGAGTGTGTATTCACGTGTTCATTACGATGTGTCCTTGAAATGAATTCTTCGCATGTAGCTCCGCCAACACTCGTTTAGAGGGCTTAGAAGCTTCTCTCTCTCCGCTGCAGAAAGAGCATCCCAACATCGCACAACATATCCAGTCTGAGGCGGACGTTAGAGAACGTCTGATCCATGTTCAGCGAGAATTGGATAAGTATCGGGCTACATATGGCGAGTCTTCGACTGTTCTTCCTCCGGATGTTGGCGAACTATCCCAACGTTTACAACGAAAGGACGGCGAGATCCGGGAATTGCGTCTCCAATTGAGACAACGTGATGAGGTATGTTTCATGGGTTTCCCTGCATTTGGAAGAACTGACGGCTGGTCATAGAGCGAGAAATCACTGTATGCAGAAATGGATAAATTGTCTGCCGCTTGGGAACAGCTTGATCGCCAGGTCAAAAGCAAGGTCTATGACTTGAGCGCGATGGAGGAGCGTCTTACCAAAGTCATTCAAGATGTATACATTTTCCGCTCTCTTTTGATGACTTGAGACTTACTGCAAGCGTATCAGAGGGCAAAGGTCGAAAGCAAATATTTTGCTGCGATGCGCGATAGAGATGCGGCCGAAAATGAAAGGAAAAACCTTGTTCGCAATATCGAGAAGCAAGCAAAAGTCATCGAGAAGCTCGTTGAAAGTGAAAAGAGCCTGAGTGAACGAGTCGTGAGTTTTATGTCTGTTTCAGTAATAGAGACGGTTCTCATCTTACCTCTAGAGCGTCATGGACATAGAATCGATTGTGCGTAGGAAAAAGATCGAGAAACAGCAGGATGTCATCAACACGCTGGAGCAAGAGGTGCATACCGCTCAGAATCGTGCTACCGGCGATCGAAAACGCGCTGATATTGTGAGCTCGCTGTATTGCTCTCGCGTACTCAACTGATGTCTCATGCGTCTAGTCATATGCTCAAGTCAAGGAGATCGTAGATGCTCGAACGAAAGCGGAAGCTGAACTGAGAAGTCGCGAAGAGCAGACAGCGCTGCTGCACAAAGAAGCTGAACGGCATGTTGCGAAGACGAAAGCGATGTCACAGAACCATAGCGCGAGCGCGACCACAAGAGAAGCCCAACTGCAAAGTGAAGTTGATAAATGCATGGTATGGATTCCCATGTGCATCCAGAGTCTGATAGTTACTGATTCGTGAAACTCATTCAGAGTATTCTCAAGTGTTCAACGTGCCGCCAGAATATGCGCAACACAGTGATCACCAAATGCATGCATTGTGGGATCTCATCTTAAAATGTTGCTCTTATTATGCTAACCTTTGATGACTTCTAGCGTTTTGTAAGTCGTGTGTGGACGCGCGAATAGCTACTCGGCAACGTAAGTGTCCCGCATGCAATCTAGCGTTTTCTCAGGGGGAGGTTCAGCAGCTGTATTTCCAATGAAGAGAATTGCTTTGCTTTTGCGTATATTATTACCTTCGATGTGTTTGCTTTGACACTTGGCTATGTTTTGCCCCGTCTTGTATGTTCTCTGCATAATGTGTTATGCCAATACATGCGCTTCCAACGCCTCATGAGGATGCCAAAGAAATGCGCAGCTGTGTAACGCTTGTCCTTGTTTCACGCGAGGGGCGTGGTATCGTGTGAACTTGGACTAGGCGCTCTGATATCTATTGAAATTTTGGATTTGTGGCGGACATCTACTTCTTTCTCCTCTACCAAGTACTTGAAGTTTGGCCGTTTGGCGGGGCAGGGCGACCACTCACCGTGCATTCTAGTCTGTATCATGTGAGTACCCATCCCTGTCTTGCAGGTGGTGGGAGGAATCTGTATCAAAGGACAGAACGATGAACACAATCACATTTTCAAGCTCAACAGTCCAATGGTTATGACCTATAGCCAGTTGACGATTTTTACTTCTGCAATACTGACAGCTGCCCTTATTTCTTTCGCCTCCCTGTTGATTATCTTTCAGATGTGATGACTAACTTTTTCATGAATAGGTGGTTGTTATGAATTTGGAACATTTGCACAGCTAGTGCTGATTACAGCCACCATGAATGATTTTGCCTGAGATGTGGTGTTGGTTCTTCAATTGATGTAACATTATATACTTGTCCCCAATATATTATGAGTGCATGTATGTGACCTGGATGTGTCTGTAATTGACATGTGTCATTCAACTGTAACCTACATCCGCTAGGTGATACTCTAATGAGCGAGCGCGCAACCATTATCCATTCGTTTCCGTAGGGTCTCGAGTTGGAAGTATAAGCGCAAGGTGGAAGATGAGATACCATGGGGTTGAGGCAATATAGGAAAGTAATAATATTTGATTGTACGGAGGGTAAAAAGGTAAAACTCATCCCCAGATTTACCAAGACTAGAGGCCACTTCAGGCCATCAACGTTTGACCCAGGTGTACTGCCAATGATTTTTAACTGGAGCCCCCACATCGCACTTTGGTTATGAATACTCACTGCTTTCCGCGCCTTGGCACGTCCCGTTTTCTTTCTCTCTGCCATACGGGGATCACGCCTGAGGAGTTTTGCTGCATTTCATCTGTCAGTATCTGAGGACTCAGCGGTTACATGAAATTACCTCTGCGCAAAAGCGGTTCGACGTCTGGGACATGAGCAGCTAACGCCTTTGCGATACCCAAACTGATAGCGCCGCTCTGACCAGTAGTACCACCGCCCCGTACCAATGCAAATATGTTGTAGGCACCAACCAGGCCAGCGATCTTGAGCGGGCGGACAACACGTTCACGATCGGCGGGAAGAGGACTGGAGGACCAATGAATTCTTTAGAGCTAATCGGACATACAGGCACTTACAAGAATTGCGAGAGTGGGATGTTGTTGATGAGAACATTGGTAGACGTTATTTCTGTGGGAGGTAGGGGAGAATCCCCCATGGCGGACGTGATGGTCGGCGTTAGCTGCGGTAATGGGTCGAGTGGTTGGTCCTCAGTACTGGCTGACGGTGCATCTGGAGTTTGTTTCTGCACGGCGATGGCCCAAACACGCGCCGCGCTTTCTTTTCTTCTTCCGACAGTATAACTGCGTCCATACTCATCAAACTCGACGGGCTTTCTCTTCCCTCGTGCAAGGAAAGCCTCTTTGTTTTCGCGTTCAAAAATCTCCAGGACGTCAGCGACACGAGATGCTAGACCTTCAACGCCTGCAACCTCAGCTATGCGGCGGTAGTTGTCAAGCTGGTTGAGGAGTCCAAGCAAGCGGCGATATCTAGAGGTTGTTAGAGGCGCATTGAGCATTTCGGTGAGGCCGAGCTTGGTCAACCACACGTGGTGTCCTGGTGGGATGGACTCGCGCACAAAACTTGGCAAAGGAAGAAGCTGAAGAGTCTGTAAAGCGGAGCGTGTATGCTGAAGAGCAAGTTCTAGAGCATTGACCTGGTCGAAGTATGCGGCACGGCCTGTGTAGAAATTGGGCGATTCCGGCGTACGTTTTGGTGTCTGTCTTCGAACAACTACGTTCTCGAGGGAAGCTGGGGGAACGTACATGGTGGCATACGAGCGGCTGCGCACGGCAGCGTTCACCATGCGTTTGGCTACGTTCATCGCGTCGGAAGGCAGACGGCCAGCACTGCGACACCGCGAGCAACTGAGCGATGACCTAGAATGGGTCCGTGAGAAACACTTTCTATCTGTGGGCACGCGTGCAAACCGTTCATACCAGCGACACGCTCCGTCTCCGCCACCGCTACGCTGGACGAAGCCGTATAGGACGCTATCACACCCACTGTCCCGTTATTATCCCTCTTTCCGGGAACACTACGCATTATATGTGTTCGCGGCAGTATGGCTTCCTCTGAACAGAACTTTTCGGGTGCGCTGTCGACTTGGAAAGGTACGCAGCCACTCGCGCATGTCAGTCCTAAGAGGTTTGAGTGAGCAATGTATACCCAGGCATCAACTTGTCTGAACTTCAGACAACACTGGATGTTCAGGGCATTGAGCTTGTTGAGAATCAGAAAGAAAGCGTAGTTGGTCGTAAGGCTCTTGCAGATCGCACTAAAGGTCGGTGTTTGTTCATCTTCATGGATGTGCTCAAACCAATGCATTCTTCCTGGAAGAGTTCAAAAAGATACCGGATGAAGACAAGCTAGCTGCTTTCAAAGGCTTGCTAAAAGGTATGATTAATTCACGCATAGCTAAATGATGTCGATCATATCCACTCAACTGTAATATATGCAGCATATCAAACAGAGATAGATAATCTCACTAAACGATCCAAGTCTGCGGAAAATGCGTTCCTCAACGTATATAAAGTCCTCGCCGAAGCACCTGACCCTTACCCTCTCCTTGAAGCTGCTATTGTGCGTATCCCTCGTTGCTGATTTTCTTCTTTGTCAATTTGTTCTTCAGGACCAGACAGTCAAGGCTGCTGAGGCGCGCGAACTTGAAGTAGAACTGCAACGGATACGCGATGAGAACGCTGAATTGCGAAAGCGCCTGAATGAAGCTAGTGCCTTGGAAGCTGCCAAGAAGAAGACAGATACGCGCATAGAGCAACTTGAGCAGAAGGTACATTGACAGGCCTCAGTCGCGCCCCTGCTCTTACCAATGCGAGGCAGATGGAAGAGATGATCCAGGAGAGGGTCATACAGAAAGAGAACGAGCTCAATGCCACATATGATGAGAAAATACGCAATTATGAGGAACGGTATGAGATTCATTGTTTGACGTACTATACATTTTTATCATCTTTTCATACCAGTGAGCAGGATCTTCAGCGCCAAATTGCCCTCACAAGAAGTCAGCTTAGGGACTTGCGTATGTCGAATGAAACTAATCAAGCAAAATTGTTCGACCATACCCAACGTCAAGGTAGGACGCTGGTAAGGAGACCATAAAGGTGGCTGAAACACTCTGTAGACCAAGAAGTTGTAGCGAAATTAGCTGAGCTGGATATGATGGCCGCTGACCTCGAACAAGCCAACAGCCGAGTCGCAACCGTAGAGCGACGAAACGTAAGTATAATGCTTACCACTAACTCTTGGACATGAGCTCATGTACTGCAGGAGCTCCTGCGTGCAGAAATTGAAGCAATTAAAAGCGGGAAGGGGCACTCCGACCGGTCAGCACCCATTTGCGTCCACACTGCGAGACTTGCCATTAATCATGCGCTTTCACAGCGTACAAGATCTTGAGAACAAAATTACAGAACTTGAAGCCGAGATCGATCAGCTCTCTCAGGCACTCGAAGCTCAGAAGTCGATGTATATCGATTCACAAGCTATGGCTGTCAAGAACATTGAGGAAATTGCGAAGGAGTCACAGACCAAGGTTCGTCCATTGAGTGGTTTACTATTATAGCTTCTACTTGAGCTTGCCCAGTCGGGCGAGATCGAGCAGTTGAAGCAGAAGCTGAAAAACTACAGTGATTACGACGAGATTAAGCGAGAGCTTGAAATTATGAAGGTCTGCATCAACTACGCATGTCAACAAATGAGATCTCATGTTGTGTTTTAGTATGTAGAGTTTGCTGGGCTAGAGGATGAGGATCAGGACGATGCATATGTCAATGGCAAAAGTGACGCACTCGGCTTGCAACTTCCAGACCCAAATGCGGAGAAAGCAAATGCTCAGCAAGGACGATCTCTTGAGGTTCTGTTGGCTACAAAGAACAAGCGAATTCTAGAGGAGTTGACCAAATTTAGGGTAAGAACTACGGTTACCGCATAACTGAACTGTGTATACTGACGTCGATGCTTTTAGATTTTACATGGAGAGCTGGAAGTATCCCTACAAGCAGCCCGAGTGGAGCTTGCAGTCACCGAGTCTGAGTTGGACAAACAACGCGCGCTCAATGAGAAGCTCGAGAATGACCTCCTGCAACTTGATCAACGCAAAACCAACGGAGACTTCAGTCATACTTCTGATTCTCTCGACCTGTTGGCCTCAGGTTCTGCGGATGCGCTGGCAGGTCTTGAGCTTGGGAAGAGAACCAACGTAAGTTCTTGAGCCTGAGAAAGTTCATATCACAAGCCTAATTATGCCGGCTCATAGGACTCTTCGGCGAGAACTACGCCAATACCCTTTGTCCCTTCGGCAGACACGTCCATTTTGCCAATTGTAACAAGTCAAAGAGACAGATTCCGACAACGGAACGCTGAATTGGAGGATGTAAGTATATTGCACCTGCTTACGGTCGTGATGTGTTCACGCATTTTGTAGGAGTTACGCAAGCAATTCAATATCATCTCTGAGCTCAGGGGAGAGGTGAAGTCAGCCGTTGATTAGAAAATGCAGTTACCAATACGAGTTGAACTTAGGTTAAGAGTCTTCAAGCAGATAATCTCAAACTCTACGAGAAGGTCCGCTATATGCAAAGCTACCGGGAAGACGCGGCCGTGCGGCCCTCCACTCTCGACCCGATGCCGTCTAGTAGTCCTCGTCCAGATGACATGAGCAAGTATCGCACGCGCTAGTAGGTTTTCGTCTCCTTCAGGCACTAGTGAAGTGATCACCTTTAATCTATTCAGTGAGGAAGCTATGAATCCGTTTCAAGCATTCCGGGGAAGGGTGCGTTGGCGTTGCGAGGAAGAGTATCTACTGACGTCTATTCCGCCGTACAGGAGGCGACACGAGCTTACGAATCTCTTAATCCACTGGAAAGGGGAGTCCTCACGTTAACCAGAGCTATTTTGGGTAATCGTCGAACGCGGACCGCTTTCATTTGTTATGCGATCGCGTTACATCTTCTTGTCATGTTCACCACTTATGAGTGCACTACGTCATCTGGATCACAGCTACAGCGACAACCTAGCCCATTTAGTTCATAATCACTTTTTATTGGATATGGAACACATTTATTATGGGCAGCCTTACAAGTACCAATGCAAAGAAAAACACTTCGCAATATATGACTGCCCCAGCTGTCTTTGTTTACAGCAACCTCAACAACAATAGACCGTCACATCTGGGAAAGTCTAGCGGAGTTGTTGGGGTGGGTAGGTGTCTGAGACATACGAAAAAGGCGCCGAATGTTACTCCGTCATTGTACAAAAAACATACGCTATAGTCGCTGATACGGTAGCTCCGCAACCTGCAGGACATGGTCTCATATATTAGCGAGGGTAATTAAGAGAAGATGGGACTATGGCAGCTCAGGGAAGATGATTAGGGGCCAAATTTGCATGTGCAGTGAACGTCTGGGAGAGGTAACAATTCATCATCAGAAACATCGTTGTCTCGCTTACACCGGGTATCTCTTCGCTCGTTTCTCATCTTTCGCTGACTCGAAGTCCATATCTGGACGAACACACACCAAACCGCAGAATTTTCACCATCTCGCGAATGCTGAGATTCATTTTCTCGAGGTAATTAAAGGAAGAATGAAGGGGGTGGCTGATCCCAAGCAGTAGAGGCAGCGCGATAGACGACGACATCGGTATCAACTTCGTTGACTAAGGCGGAAAGACGGCCGGAGGCCAATTAAAGAGGTCTCCGCAGTGACTGAAGATAAGCTGTGCAACACTTCCCGACGCGCTCTGACTCCTTAGTCAGCCGCTGCTGAGCCTTCGTCATGCGCTCATTTCGACCAGTTTCTGCCACACGTGGATCACTCGGGCATGGAGCGGGATCCTGGCCTTGTGACCCAGCCTGACAGTCAGTAAGTACTCTGTCAAACAGGGTCCGGGGCTGAAACAAGATGGAATGTGAATCTGTAAATTCACATTCCATCCTGTTTCAACCCCGAATCGACTTATAAAACGTGCAAGTCGTGCAGATATGTCATCCCCACTTCCCCACAAACGACACAGATATTCATCTCGACCTATCTATTCATCCTCGTGAACAATGCCTGCTCCTGGCAACTTCACTTTTATCCTGTATGCTCCGGACATGACCAATCCAGAGGCCTTCAAGAGCCGGATGGACGTACGCGCACAGCATTTGCAGGGCGCGAGGGAGCATCACCACGAGGGTATATTGAGTGAGCATTACGATTTTGCAAGTCTATAGACTTCATGATCCTTATACATGCCATAAGAAATCGGAGGCGCCATTTTGTCCCCCGACGCAGAGAAGAAGATGATTGGATCAATCATTATCTTTGAAGCAGACAGCATCGAGACTGTGAGGAAGACAGTGGAGGAAGATGTCTACTACAAGGAGGGAGTGGTCAGTATTTTTGTTGTTCTCAAATTGGCAATGCACTCACATTTCCTCGACGTTGTATGATCAGTGGGATAAGGAGAAGCTCCAGATTTACCCTTACCAGTCGCCTCACCTCTAGTGGTGGTTATTGACAGTAGTCAACAAAGGCACTCCGTTGCTCGCTGCCAATTGCCATTGCTATGAATCCATTGAATGACCAGGAGGTGTCGATGAATTCAAGGAGACGCGAATCCGTAGTGTACAGCAGGATCAAAGAATAAATGTTTCAGTAGTTGTAATGACATCATCTTTTCGGCCGAAGAATGACGCTGCCCTCACATATGAGCTTGATCGAAAGACCTAACCGCGTGGACACAAACAGCGAGCATGTGAGCGAAGGATCTACGTTAGCGATAGAAATTGGTACTCTGAGCCGCGGTGTTTAGATAGGAGATTCCACAACATGGAAAAACAACTATTTTTCTGCAATGGAAAGGGTTTGGTAAAGTGCCAATTGGATAAAGCAAGCCTTTCCCCCTCCTGAAATGGGCTAAAGATGGTCATTTCTGGTACCGTTCGCAACGCCAGCAGCTGATCATGCACGTCTTTTTGCTCAAAATCCTGCCCCTCCGCCCCTCCACCCCCATCACATCCGGACTATCCGACCTCTTGAAGAGGTCGCCATAAGAAGCTTGATCTCGTTCCCGGACGCGCTAACCACATCTGGAGATAAGATCAGAGAAGCTCAACAACTAGCTCTTACAAATCTCAACAGCTATCGAAACCGATAATTCTAGCTTATAAATTGTTATCAGAAGCTCATTATTTTGAGCGTGAATAACACCATGGCATAGTGACAGAGCGATTGGAAATAAATGAAGATTGTTGTACGAGTGCATGCGTTCAGAACCTCAACCTTCGTAAGGAATATCGTTCAGTAAAGACACCTTTGGGGCGTCACGGCCTAGACAATGACCTTACCAGATATCATGAATGTCAACCTTCACCTGACCGTAAATTACCAACAGGGATGTTGAGAACGAGAAGACTGTCCGACAGCGATTTGCGGCAGACCCCAAGGACGAAATGCAGATTCAAGCTTCAAAGACGAGGACGCTGTTCACGGGCAGATCTCCGCCAGGCGAGAACCAGAAAGTGAGCGTGATATTATGTGGCTTCGCAGAGTAGTATGTGCATGCACGAGGAAGAGTACTCAGCCAGTCACTTGTGAGCCTCTCGCATGCCAAAATGCAAGGGCTCTATCAACCGCATCCAATGCTGGTTGCATAGCCTGACATGGAATGTCGATCATTTAGATGAGCGGTAAACTTTGCAGACTCACCACCTCCACACGCGAAGGATCCACGCCCTCCCGCCGGGCAGTCTCGATTAGTGCTGTCACTTTGCTCGGTGTTTTGCTCAGATATCCAGCCATCTTGGTAGCCTTTGCTGTTCTTTGTGCCGGCGTTGGCATAGCTAAAGTTTGCCCTTCTGTCGCTGGCGGATAGACAGATAACCAAAATTGGCGTAGAAATTCATTTGCAGCTGTCTGACACGTTGTCATCTGACGGAACAAGCCTTCAGGCATGTCATCTAGGGCAGCACGCAATCCAATTAATAAATGTGGTGCCGCAAGTAATACTGGAAATAGACGAACGCTTCTTCATCTTCACTTCCAGGCGAGCAGAGACGTTCTCAGTCATAGCAATAAGTGCCTCTTCTCCAGCTTTGCGTTCCAATTTGAGCTAAAACATGAGCTTCGTATCGGTACTGCCTGCACAGAAACCCCCAAAAGTCCACAAACCTTTTTCAGATTATCGGTCCAGCCGGATAAGCTTTGCTTAAACTCCTTCAGAGCTGTATTGATATCCAAAACCTGACACGGGGCACACTTCATTGTCAGGAACATTGCGCACAGAATAAGGAGGGACATTCACCTCATTAACGGCCAGCTGCCCCGAGGAATCTGCCACTCTACTCTCAAAATACCTTTGCCGATCTTGCATATCCAATAATATACCCACTGAGGTTTGACTGTCATGTAAATCATCCAGATCCAGCTGCGAGATATGCTAAGGCAATCATAAGTCCTGGGCGAAAGGGAGATAATACCACAACATACATCTGTTCCCTCTCCCACATCCACTCGCCTGCGTTTTGCAGTACGCTCTCCTCTATTACACGTAAGATCAGAAAATCTATCAAGTCAGTTTTCGAAGGGCCTCACAGCGCCGTATTCAAAAGCCTGCCGGAATGCTCATTGAATTTGCGAATCAAGGGGAGTACAGCCCTTTGCTTTCCCGCCTGCATGGTTATATCTTTGACATTTCCTGTCTAACAAGCCATGAGGATGTGAAGTTCATGCAGATAACAATCACGTTACCTCGTCATGATCTTCTTGAGTGGCATTCAAATCTATGAAGATGTCGACAGCTTCTTCCCGAAGCCTGCGAGGCTCCAGCTCTGCGAGTACGAATTGAGAATTTAGCATCGTTGAAGCATTAAAATATACCGTCGTCATCCTTCTCCAAGTACTTATCAAAAATAGGATCGTCTTGAACCACGTGCTGTGTTGCAGAAGAACGGATGGAAGCACGATGCGCATTGAACAGTTTGGACTGGAAGTAACGTTTCCAGAACTCGGCTTCTGAAAGCTGGCAGCCATTCTCTATCTGAGAAATCTCACTTTAGGGGTATTTCGTGCACACCTTATTTGGTACATTATCGTTGTAAGCTTTCGCAACAACAGGATATTCCTCAAATATATCATGGACAAGCTGAGGGGTTATTATAATCTTGATCTCTCCATCTACGGTCTGAGGACGAGGGTCCACCAGTTGTCCAGGTTTTCCACGCTTCTGACTTTCGGCAGCAGCTTGTGCTAGAATGAGATGCTTTCAGACCCCATCAGGACAACTATATGAAGAGCAAAAATCAAGATTCACTTCTCGGCCCTCCCAGAACTCATTTTCCGTTATCTGGCTACTCATAACGAGCTCGCGATGAAGGGCTGCAAGTTCCGGATTGCTGAGTAGCACCTTTTTGCGAAGGCGAAAGTCAATAGTAGGGTCCG